GATTATAAATTGAATTGGTATAGACATGTAGATTTAATTCGTCGAAAATTACTCAATAGCATTAATGATCAAGAATTATATACAATATTTCTTTCGTGGTCATTCTTTTCCCTAAATCAAATAATTTGAGCAAAGCGCAATATCATAAGCTTTTGATTTTTCCGATCTTTCTGGTGTATTAATCCGCATAAATATTTTTTCAACTAATACGGGGAGGAGTTTCCGATTAAATTTGGAAATGTAAGTCTTCAGACGAAGACGGGACTATTTTGTTCAGAATGACGGTTTGTTTCGATTTTTAATTCAATTAATTTGCCAAAAATTTCAATGCTGGATAAATTCTAATAAATTGTTAATATGACGAGCAAAGCAGACGGTTGAAATAGCATTAATACAAAACGCCGGAATTTTTTTAGCAGTCAACCGCAATTTTCTTTTTGGCCCTTGGAATCTCTAGGACCAAATTTTGACATGCCATGAAAAATTTCTTTATTAACTATTCTTATGGGGAATATAAATGAAAATGAAGAAAAACAAGGAATCAAAGATTAAAAAGCGATTTCAAAAAAAAATTCTGATTTTCAGATTTTACGGGAAAAGTTTGAAATAAACCCACGGGTTAGTCCGAAACGCTAAATTGAAAGCTATTCATAGAAAAGCTATGAGCTATGTATTCGTACGTACTGGTAGTGCTTAACAGTTTTGGCAGAGTTCAAAATGGCGGCCAAACCGCTCTGTGGAGTCGGGCCCAGACCCGCTCGGGAAAGTCGTGCAGAGTTTATGCAAACCTCAGAAAAATATTAAAAACCTCAGAGTTTGATTCTACACGACATTCCCGAGAGGGAACTTCGAATTGCTAAGATTGTTCGTGGCCTATCGGAAAAAAAATCGAATGTTGATGACACATATTCTGTATTTGTGCGTCGGGTCTCATCGCGGACCATATCAATCATCCCAATCAGCAGTCGATTTTTTTTTTCATTTTTTCTTGTTTTTACGATAGAATCACCTATTTAATAAAATTTAATTTTATGTAATTTATTTATATAGCCCGAAAATTTACAATATTCAATAGCATCAGTCCGTCTTAAAATGTTTCGCAATTTTCTGATTCCATTTGAAAATTTAATAATTTTATCATATAGTCGACGTCGAGCGACTGCGGAAAATTGGCTAAATGACAAAAAATTAAAACATAGATCGATGCGCGGTGTGTGCCTTTAACCAATCCTTATACCCCTCCGTAAATATACACTTAGTTTTGCGCCAAGACCGCTGCCATTATTTTTTGGCATTTAGCCTATTTTCCGCAGTCACGCGGCGTCGACAAATTGATATATCGCAAAAAACGAGCGCCTATTATAATTGAAGACCATCGCTCTTTTTCGAGGTGTTAAATCAAATTTGTATTAATCCGTGAGAATTCGGAAACCACACACTGGATAACCTGCAATGCTCCATTCACTCGTGCGTAATTATTCTCAAATTGCATTTTGTAGCGATGATGATTTGCATGACTTCATTCGGAACATGTAACAAAAAAACTGTACTCTTATCAAGATTTTCGAACGAATGTGTACTTTCGATATAAATTGCCTTCCCCTCCGTATTTTTCGCATAAATGCGAAATCAAACGTTCGACAAGGTCGAGTCACGTCATTTCAACACTCCAAACACCGGTCAGTATGTTTCACTATCGTCAGGCTCAAAGATCACTTTCGCGTATATTTGCGGCGTTTGTCTGCGAACTTTGCTTGTCGTAGTGTGTAGCCATTAGCAAATCGACATAAATGTCATGATCGAACAAACACTGAACGGAAAAAATGCAGTCATATGTGTATCTTAGTTAACTGCTGATTATCGATTGATATCGTGTCGCGTAAATTAATGTTTTCTTATCGGCCATTTCTGGTATTCTCTTTTTTTTTATTTTTTCGAAGCCATTAAACTTCAAATAATCTCTTTTTTTAACGTTGATATTTCATTATTTATATTTCAAATCTTTTTAAACGTTTCTTGGGGATTTGTTCCTTTGGTTTATCACTCTTAGTTTGAGGAGTTTCTATCTTCAAATTAAATGTTTACCGTAAATTTTTCTTAACCCCCAAATTTTTTGTCTATTCAGCTATAGGCGATCCGCGCAAAAAACTCGAAGAAAACTCATGTGTCATCATCGGAATAATTTGAATCAAAATGAAATATTTCCATATATACTAGTATTTGTCTAAAAATGAATGAAACTATATGATGAGATTGGTAGGACAATGAGCTCTATGAGAAACTTATGTTATTTTGCCTCTCTGAATTTGAACACTACTTGACTTAATTGTTTATTGGTAGTTGTGGGGGGCCTTCGAAACTCGAATTCTCATTAAATTCAGGCGGGTTATTATCAGGATTAAGAGAGTGAAAGATTCGCATTTCGCTCATTCAAACGTTTTAGCCCCACGGTAAAATATGCGCGAAAGAGAAAACAGAGACTCATGCTAGAGTGTACGCAGAGGAAAAGAGACAGACTACTCAAGAGGAGAGGTCGCATATGTGCTGTATGGAATAGGTTTCTAACAGCAACTTCGAATTCGCTCCTTTCATTTACTTTATTTACCTATTTCTTTTTTCTTCTTTATTTTTTCATTACATTTTGCTCCTTTTTTATTCGTATAAACTATGTCTGATCATGTAGACAGCTTAACTTGATTAATAGAAGAAAAACTAGATTTTCTTTTAATCATTCTGCTAATCCACGACTAGCCATATTTAAAGCAACTTGATGTCAAAATAAATATTCACAAAATGATACGTTTCAATTAAATAATTAGATATTTGCGCTTGCTTCGTTGAGTCACTTTTCTTCTTTAATAAATTTTGGTAAGAAACTTTTTTTCATAAAAAATTCAGTTGAAAATATTTGAATTCAGATCATATTGTCATGTTTGAAAATTCAATTATTTAAATGAAAAAAAGAAGACGTTTTAGTGTCGTAATACGTATTTAAAAGTTGTTCTTTTTACATAGCCTATTATATGGCTCGATGCACTCTGTGTATGTGCACTGCCAGGTCATATTTCATATTATATATTTTAATATTTTTTGGCCATGATACCTGTATTTTATGTAATTTCATTGAGTGCATTCTTCACAATTGCCAGACATTTAAAAATCTCGACGCTGGTGTGACACTTGATAGACAGCCGAGTTTAACACAACAGTCGGCCACGTGTGCATTAATCTTTTTTTGTTTTTAATGCAATAAAAGTTGAAACACTTTCAGAATATAAATAAATACATGCTTCCTGCAGGACCATGGTAAACTAAATTTAGTAATTCCAAAATTTCTCAGAAAAATCACTGCAAACGTGCATGAAAACAACACCAACAATTATTCGTATTCTCAAAGTCAACAGTTAAACATAAAAATGCTAGAAAATATCACTTTTGCCTCTTTCTGACACATATAATTTTGGGAATGCTTCCTCGATGTCTTTTCTCTCTTTCACTCCTTCACTCTGGGCTTCCTTAAACATAGATCTTTGCAAGTTTCGAAAAACGCTTTATTTTGCACTATCTTGCAATTCTTCGATTTGTTTTTTCGTAGTTTCTTTTTTTTCGTACGCTCGCGTATTCTTTCACACATTGCATATACATATATGCGAAAATGTTTAATTCAATACTTGAATTACCCTTCAAATCATTTTGTTTCCTTATAAATAATCTGTTCTTGTTATATTCGAGCCAATTCGTTTTCTCGCTGATTATTATTTCACAGATATCACGTATTTGATTCAAACATCGCAAAACCTCTGCTTCGGCTATCATTTTAACATTTTTGGCTTGCCAAATTGAAACAATCAAATGTTGTTTGGCGCGAAATATCGCCAGAATTATATGTTTGCTTTCCATGCCATTTTGTTTTAAAATCGAACAAAGATGAATAATGTTTAATGTGAATTTCAAACCAAAATAGAGAGGAGCATATCGAATGCTTAAAAAACCAGAAGACTGTTCACATATTCGTTTTTAATCGCCTTTTATAATAAATTCCAAAAAAGTCAATTTATCAATTTTTTCCATACACAATTTATACAATTGTTTCACTTTTTGAAAATTAATGATTTAATTGTAGAGTTTTGAATAATTCTTTGCAAAACTTTCTATTCTATTTCTGTGAGAATTTTATTTTTAGAGCATTAAGTGATCAGGATAAGTAGAATAAGTAATATAAAATTTTCTCGGAACTTATTATCAGAAAATTCGCCCTTTCCGTCTAAGACCTTTCATGCGAATTTGTATGAGAACTATCGTCGTGTTTTAAATGAACTTTGACGTCAGATCTATGGAGTTCAATATTACATTTTTTGCTGTTCCTACATACAAAATAATCAAATTCATCTGTCCGTAACAATATTCTTCGCAATTTTCTGACCGTCAAAAAATTTGTTTATTATTTTTTCGTACACTTAATGCGTTTTTGAATCGAAAATAATAGAAATAACTCCGGACGTGAAATGTGCCGTGGGCGATCATTTCGCAGCCGCGGGGATTATCGAAACGAGCCCGAAAATGCAAAATTATTTAGGCCAGTTAGTCCGACCGCACGCTCGTAAGTCTACACGCGTTCAACCGCAATTCAATAAGAAAATTATAAGAACTAGTTAGGTTATATTTAGTACATCCATATAAGTCCTTTTAAAATGTTGGAGCCATGATTTCTGACGATTTTCGTTTTAATATTGCGTGGAAAACACTGAAAACGGCCGTATGACCATTTGAGTTTGCCAAATTCGTCCTCTAATTTTTGGAAATATTCATATGTATGTAGTTTGGATATCTATTTTTCCCTTTATATGTTAAAAAAATGTAATTTAACCTCTAATTTTCTATGGTTCAAAAATTTCAGAAGTATCTTTTCCAGGGCCATCGGTCAATCACAACTCGGTATACTGAAGGTGTCAACAACGGCGCCGCCCTCAATAATTGTGGACAGCGGAGTCGGACAGTCGATGTCAACTTGTCCCTCGCAAACGACACCAATTGTTAACCACACATCTCCGGCTTCTATAAGTCATGACGCCTCGAACAAACTGATGCCAATGGTACCGAGCCAGCAACAGCTGAATGCTTTCTCGACGAGCCGTGAGTATCAATTGACATGTTTCGTGTTCAATTCGTGTATTTTCTAGATTTTGTGCATACCGAGTCTATATTCAACATTGATATGCTGCCGAAGCAAGTTGGATCACCTTTGGATCTGTTTAAAATCGGTTTAGAATGTATAGATCAAAAGATAATCCCACATTTATTTCAGCTAAAAATGAGCCAAGTAGTTCATCGAACTCGCAACCAGGAACACCAGTTCAAATGGATCGAAGAGCTGTGAGTATCATTTTTTGGAATTTTGAAGTATGCTGTCAATGCTTTTTAGGTTCCGGCTTGTGCCATTTGTGGAACCGATTCAACGGGAATCCATTTCGGAGTTGATGCCTGCGCTGCTTGTTCGGCATTTTTTCGGCGAACTGTCGTTCTAGATAAACGTTATGTTTGCAATAAAGGCGGAAATTGTGTAATTCTAAAAGGTTTTTATTTACTCTAAAAAATTTTCTAAAAATTTAATTAATTTCGTTTTTAAGATAGCTCAAGTGGTCAAAAATGCAGGGCATGTCGCTTCAAGAAATGTCTAAACGCTGGAATGGATCGAGGATGTTCGTAACTGCTGAAAATCTATTGTAATGTTTTTAATTTCAGCTGTGCAGCACAGGCGAGACGCAATTGGCAAATATTCAGCCGGTGTCAAACGCGAACATAGTCCTGATATCGAATTCGACGCACCGAAATACAACAACATTCCCAGCACATCATCGAATGGATATGCAGTGAAATCACCTGAATATCCGATTCGGCCGCAAGTTATTCATCAATGTCATGCGTCCACATCGCGGCAATGTTTCTCGCCTCAGCAACCCAAATCTATTTTGCACGAATTGATAATCCGACAAAATTTTGTGCTGGAACAACGCCAAATTTTTTATGCAGATCGAAATCTCTTTGATTGGTTTCGGAAACCGCTACCATTGTCCAAGGTTAGTGTGTTTTACAGTCGTATATTGTAGCTTTTCACTCGAAACTAAACATAGCCGATGTCCGGCGACTGTTATACGCGGGTATTCATCTCATGGCGTTTATGAGTACCGACTTTTAAATTTTCACTTTGATCTGTTTTTTTTTTCTTGATAAGTTTGTAATTTTCTTGAATTTCAAACCGTGTATTATCAGCATAAAACGACTAAAGGGAGGCGTGGACTTCAAATTCTCGAAATAAGTGTATATTTAAACTTTTTTTGACGCATTGGCACATAGCCAATAATTTTTTAATTCCGTCAAGTCGTTCGATAATATTAATATTCGGCTGAAATCAGACTTCAATTAATATTAATTTTCGACACCATAGATTACAGGTGGGATTTGCAATTGAGTCATAATTGTATGCTTCGAAGTCACAATTTTTTCCATTTTTTTTTCTCTGAAATACGATCAAATTTCGAATTTGATGTTTTTCAGCAACCTATTCATGAGCTCACCAACTTCTCCAACTGTATGTACCATTTATGGAAAGTTGAACCACGACTAGCGGCCGATTTTATCAATCGTAATCGATATATGGATGCTATAGTAGAAGAAGATAAAGTTAGTAATTTACACAATTATCTTCTTTCATTTCTTTTTCAGGTTAAAATATTCCGAAACTTTGTGGTTATTCGACAAGCTGTTGAAGAGCCGTATATTACTTGGATACACGGGGGACTTGATAAAAATTGGTTTGTGATGCCAAATATGACATATATCGATTTTAACAATGCACAAAAATATTTAACAAATGGTGCATTGGAGGGGTTGAATTTGGATTTGGAAACTGCTAAAAAGTAAGCATTGAAAAAATGTAATTTTTTAATATTTCAATTTCAGTCTTTTTGTACCATCTTTTTTGAAAGCAATGGATTCTGTGGGAAATTTAATGAAAAACATCGAGATTAGTGAAACGGAATTTGTCATTCTTCTCGGTCTTGTGCTGTTTGATCCTTCAATTGGAGGAATTCAAGAAAATACTCGGCAAATACTCAGCGGAATCCGTGATCAACTAATACAAGACGTATTTATTTATTATGAAGACGAGGAGAATCGCAACGAACCCGAAATTCGAATAGCCGATTTATTCATGATATTGTCGGCAATCAAAGTTCACGCAATCAAAACTTCGGAGAATATGCAATTATTACGGATATTCGATCTGATCCCATCTGATCCATGCTTTAATCAAATGATGGAATCGGAAAGACCGACGAATGACTTTTTTACGGAAATGTGTATGGCAGCGCAGATGAACGGTAATGCCATGACAACATCGACAAGTGGAGTTTCCGTTGGCGAAGGTAGATTTTTAAAAATGGTTTTTCAAGAAGAGAAATGCGCATTTGAGATTCTTCTCATAATTACCCATAACTCCAAACTAGTACCATATTTCGCGCAAATGTGTAATTAGAGGCGGCCGCAAGAACGGAATTTGTAATTATGAGATTGTGTCGCAAATTATCGGTTTTGTTTTCTATTAAGACCGAAATGCGTTCGAGGTAATTAAAATTTTGGACAATTCGATAGTTTAAATCGATCTTTATCTTTCGAATATATTAATGTTTCAATAATCAGTTTCACTTTTTTTCCAATCTTCTTTTTTTATTTAAAAAAAATATGTCTTAGTTTTATTTAAAAAATTACCATCGATATTTCAGCATCCATCCAAATTTCGAATAATTCCATTCCGACGTCCACATTTCCTCCCGAATACGTAAGTTGCGAATTTTCTTTTTTTTTTTAATTGTTTAATTTTCAGGCACCTACAGCTACGGTTGAAATAGTCGCGACCTCTGGTGAATTAAATGGCTCATAACCCCTGTTTTTTTTTCTAGTCGGCTAGAAGTTTTCAATTTAGCTAATGAAAATATTCGAATTGTTCTCATCTTTCTTCCTTTGTGTCTCAATAAGTCTTTTCAATCTCTTCAATAATTCATTCAATAATTCAAAGACCCTCGTCCTAACCGTGATCTTCCTATAGCATTATTTGTTATAATCTAACCTAATACATATATGTATAATTTTTTATTTACGTTTTACAGTATTTTTTGAAATTTTCCTCCCAACGCACTCGAAACGATCTCTTCAAATCTTTTATTTGGATGTAAACTATTATGGGTTTGAAGGTTGCAATTATTCGTTTTAGATATGCTTTTATTATAAATATTTCTTCATAAATATAAATATATAAATTAAATGGTTTGAAAAGAGATCAATGTTGAATGTAACGAATAACTTCAAAGACGGCTGAAATTAAAATTATTTTTTGAAAAAAAAAATGTAAATTTTTAAGTTTACCAGAACCGCAGACGACAAAGACGAACAAAGCAATTAGCCAATAAGATGTCGGATATTTTCCATCGTTCGATTTCTGAAAAAAAGACAAATAAAAATATATCTAAGAGGTCAATTAGGAATTTTCGTATAAAACAAGTCAACAGCAGATCACAAATCATAATTTTCTAATCTCTTTTTTTTAACTATAAATTATAGTCACAGACGGACGAATTTAGGATGCGATTACTGTACTATTTCGGCTGCCGCCTTGGGTCTCGTATAGAAACAATTGTTAGGAGCGAGTATTGTTGAATCTAATCAAAATAATGTGAAAGACACATTATTTTATGAGCTTTAATAATTTTGGTTATTTTTAAAGTGTCAAATGACGGAGTAAAAGCACCTCTTTTACGATACCAATTAATTGGCAGTAGGCGCATGTCAAATTTGGTCCGTATTTGACAAAAACTAGTTTTAAATATTTTTCGGTTCCAAATGACTGATCGGTTGCGGAACGTTCAATCTCGCAAAACCACTGTAGATTTACGAATTTGAAAATTTACTTGCTTTGTCTCAATATACTCAGTCTTTTTTTTTTTGAATGTCGCATGAAATAACAATATGAAAAGATTGATTTAATTATACTCAATATTCCATATACAATTTTAACAAGTGTAGATTTACAGACCAAAACTAGGATAGGTTAAGGGCACATAAAGCACACTGACACCACTCCACTAAATCTTTGACATTTCGCCAATTTTCCAGTCGTCGCGCGACGCCAAAAATATTCTCAGCGCAAAAACCGAGCGCATTGCGTAATTGTGGACCATCGCACTTTTTCGATGAAAACTCGAATTTAAACAGCGGGAAATACCACATTCTGAATAAAATGCGAAGCTAACTCATTGTAAATCTTAGCAGGGTTCTTGTTTTTTGAGCATGTAACCGTTTCAAAACTTTAAAACTCACCGATCCTTTCGGAACATTTCCTCGTTGAGTGATGTTCTTGCTGAATTGATTATTCGCATGGGCTATTCTTTGTTTTGGAGCCATCGTAACCTGACAGCAACACGATTAATAGAAAATTTGTAAAGACGCGTCAAATAAGCAGAAACGGACTAGAATGTATCAAGTATGGAAAACTCGGTCACGGTCACAGAAGACAAAACAAATCGAAACTGACAATAGGCTTTATAGCAATCAAATGAGTAGAAAATTATTTACAAAATTCAAATTATATTTAATGCAAGTTTTTACGAATTTCTTAACGGGAATTTAGTGTAGAGATAGTCGAACAAACTGCTTTTCTCATTCTGTTGTTTATAATCCGAAAATGAGACAATTTCCTTGAAAATGGTCCCTTTAATTATTGATAATCAAGTATTAACCACAAAAACGAAATTGCTACCTAAAGTAAGATCGTGATTCTGAAGGTTTTCAACCATTCTGCGCAATTGATTCGCCGATTTAGAGTCGTAGAATGTACAAAAAACTAAAGGACGCCGTGTAATTGCCGCTGCAATCACTTGCAACAAAGCTGGAAAATGAAACTGCGAGACGATGAGATAATCTACTTACATTTAAGCTGTTTCTCTCCTCCAAATACGCCGCATCCCCACCATCCCGTGATGAGGGGAGGCTTCGGATGAACACTCGTCGAAAATCCCACAAGAAGCTAAACAATAACTCACGAAAATCAATATGTATAAATAGGGCGCCACGATTTTTAGTGACATTGTCGGCGTCGCACGACATATTTACGAATTATTGAATGCGCGGACGCTAAAATACAGATAAGGCAATCACGCTTACATCTTTCTCGCAAGAGACACTTGGAACTTACAGTCAATAATATTACATTCGCAAAGAAACGAGCACCTTGCGCTGATTTACGGTGACGTTTGCAGATTATCCAGAGTACGGTGTCCGAATTCCCACTGTTTAAATTCGAATTTGAATTACTACCTCGAAAAATTGCGATGGAACACAATTATACAAGACGCTCGTTTTTTTGCCATGGTAATATTTCAAATTTAGTTCGTTTGACGCCGGCAATATTAGTGAAAAATGCGCCTGCTCCATTTGAAAAACCAGACAAAATTGATTATTGATTTAAAATATATTGTTTTAAATTTTTATGTGAAAAATGAATTATAGTCGGCGTCCGGCGACTGCTGTACGAGGGTAGATTTACGCACATGCGCCTTGAAAAGGTCTAGCCACGCGTGAATTCTTATTTTGCTGTTTTCACGCGAACTGCTTCATTTTTCTTGATGAGTTTCGCATTTCCTTGAATTTCCAACGTCATTCGATTAAAAAATTATCGAACCGGTCCAAAAAATTTGAAATAACCTGTTAGTCCTTGCGAGACTATTTCAAAGACGCATTCCTGTAAATCTACCCGCGTACAGCAGTCGCCGGACGTCGACTATATTTAAATTTAAAAAATACCTTGTTTAATTCTCTGCAAATATAATTTGAGCTGAATTGTTGTCCTCTCATTTTGGAAAAGTTTATTGCATCAACGGCAACAAGTTCCACACAAATTCGTCTAAAGTTCGATTAATTAAATAACAAAGGAATGTATTAAATTTACACGAATCTGTCTTTTATAGAGTTTGCTTCCGCATCATGTGGCTGAAGTGGTTTCCATTTTAGAGATTCTCCTATGATTAAAACGAAAAATATTGTAAAAATCTGAACTTCATACCATATCCCTCATAAGAACTGTAAGTCTGAGCTCCAACTATAAAAATCGCTTCGTTGGGATTCATTTCTTCGCAAAGAACTAATGAAACAAGCATTTCTGGACACATTAGAAACCGAATTTCTTCTTGAACTCCTCCAAATGTTAGTACACCGCCTCCTATACACTTGTTTGCAAAATCCATTTGACTACAAGCAGGCGCTTGTTCGATTCGCAAATCGCATGAAACAAAGAATTGCAAGTCTTTGATCTGAACAAGTCTTTCTTATCTCATTGAAAGCAACAGAATAATTTGAAAATAATGAAAAAAATACAATTTACCTTCATTTCGCAGTCCATAAATGTTTTATCAGTCATTTCATGGCGAATTGCTCGTCGAAATGATACATTCCCGTTAGGCATATTTTTTCGAATCGTATCAAAGTAGTTCATTATAAACTCTACTTTCTCCAACATAAAATAAGATTTTTTTGCAAGAATTCTGAAAAAAAAACGATTTGTTTTTAATTTTTGAAAAATTACGTTTCGAAGGAGTAACTGCGATAATGATTGCCAATAAACATATTTGCGACAATCGCCGCGCACTGCTCCTGACTTAATGTAACCGAACGATTTTTGCATTTTACTAATCGTTTAATTTTCTGAAATTTAAGAGAAAAAACTTATTTGTTTCTGAAAAGTTAACCTTTGGAAGTATTGCTTGAGCTCGTATTGCTAATTTCACAATGAACTTGAAAAGTTCGATTGTTTCCAAACCGTGACCGGACATCTCCCTTTTTTGGAAATATCGCTTCAACGCGAATAACGATCTTCTGGAAATTGATGGGATTTGTCGCATGTCCCATAGAAACGTCTGCAAATACGGATTTTCAATATTTCAAAACTAAAAATTCACTTCAAACGCAGAATAACCATCGTCGGCAACGGACAGATAAATTTTACTAAATTTGTCAAATATTTCCTTTTTCGCCAATGTTTCTTTCTGCAATCACAGATAATAAAACTGCCGAATAACCCTATAAAATACATTATCATTGTATGGGAACCATGGTTGAAACAATAATTCTTTGTTGTGTGTTAAATACTGCTCACTCTCCTCATTAGCTAAATTGAGAAAATGTGAAACAACTCTTATATTATTCTTCGAAACCTTGATCATTTTTCTTATCATCGAATCCAGGGATTTGTACGTAGACAATATCTTCATTTTCTCCACATTGGGCAGAAGTTGGTGGAAAAGCTGAATGAGATATATTGAAGAAAACCGGGATTGTCAACTTGGTAGAATTGATTGGTCACAGAGAAGACGGTGTTTATACAGAAAAAGTTGGCGGTCACCTCACGGAGGCAATATTTGGAATCGTCGCGCGCGCGGTTACCGATCAGTTTAACAGAGCAAGAATATAGGCCAGGACGACGCCCTGATTTTTTAGCTAAACAAGATAAATTTCCTTATAAAACTCTGCGAGTATTTTGTCGTTTTGTGAAGTTAGCGGTGACGGAAATTCAAAATATGGGCTCTACGAGACCTAATCTTTCAAATAACCCTCATGAAAATCACGTAGTTTTGCCGTACTTGGCCGATTGGAAATTGCATTTTTCAAAAGCTTGTTCAGTGATTCGTTATAGTTATTCCATTCTAATTCTTCTTCCACTTCCATAACCTGAAAATTTAAAAATTGCAAAAGATACGTAGGCTCAAGTTTTTCATGATTACGCTTCCAGATTCCTCTTCCACGTTTGCATCCGCTTCCAATGGTCCGGATTTTTCATGATTAAGAATTTTTCCTAAGGTTTTTATTGATCCATTGTCGATTTGTTCGACTTTCTTCAATTCATTTCCGTCATTATCACATTTTCTTTCGAAAACATCAGAACTGAACAAAAATATTTGCTATTAAATATTAAACTAAATATACTTTTTCTGAGAATCTTCGACTTCCTCTGGTGCTGTTTCGTAGTGGTCTTCCGACGAATCTTGACATTGGCCAACGAAAATATCGGTACTTCCGAGATCCGGATTATCCAGAGTTTTTATCTTCTGTTGATCATCGGTAGCATCGTTTCCCTCTTCCATTATTTCAAAATCGGATTTCTTTTTAGGCGGTGGATTATGAACTGGTCCTAACCCACCGACGTAATTTTCGATTTCAGCGCACTAAAAATTAAATACTATAGTAGCCGTACTATACAATAAGAAATAAATAAGTTATGGCTCACGTGCAATTGTTCTTCAGACTTTCTTTTGTTCCCGCTCAATTCATCATCGATATCGATACACGCTGGCATGCTGAAAATTTTTAAAATGATACTTTAAGCCCAAATTTTTTAAAGAAAGAACACAAAAAAAAAACAAAAAAAAATAAGTAGGGAAAGTCGTATTGTAAAATATGAAAAAAAGGCGAGGTAGGAAAGTTGAGTTAGGATTTCCTATTAAAGTTTCCTCGTTAAACTCTGGCTATTCGATGGTGAAATGTCAATTCTTTGCTTTAAGACCGAAATTTTACGACGATCACCGAGTTATTACGCCACTGACAGAAATTTCGAAATCAAGAATGGACATATTGATGAAATGTATTTTTTTTTGCAAAAAATGTAAAGAATTACATTAATTTTAACAAGCCTCCATTGGAAAAATGTGCATTTTTTCACTTTTCTTGCGAAATCTGCGTAGTGCTATTAAATTGAATTGCCGCCAATAGAAAAATCAACAACTCGTGCACGAAATCGGTGTCAGTGCTGCTCAGTTTGGCGCTTTTGTCTTCTGCCAAATTTACATTTCTCGTGCTTTTAACGTTTTTTTTTCTTTTTCATTGTCACCTAAAAATTTCATGGAGCAACTTATTGTACCGAGTTGTCTTTTTTCTTAACTAATTTTAATAAATAACGGTTGAAAAATTATTTGATGTTTTTTTTTTGCTTATTCGCAGTTTTTATAGAAATGAATTATTGATTTAATTTAACTTTAAAGGAAAAATGGTGTTAGCTGATTTGGGCAGAAAAATTCGAAATGCCATTGGCAAGCTTGGACAATCCACTGTAATCAATGAAGAGGAGCTCGACCTTATGCTCAAAGAGGTTTTTTTTAAGAAACTCTGCAATCCGTGAGATGAAACTCTGATGTCACCCCACGGACTGTCGAGAATTGGAAATACGAAATAAAATCACAAATTTGAAGGTCTGCACTGCTCTTATCGAATCAGATGTTCATATTCGATTAGTCAAGCAACTCAAGGATAATGTCAAAAACGCGATGAATTTTGACGAAATGCTCGGAGGTGCCAACAAACGCCGTTACATTCAGAAAACAGTGTTCAATGAGCTTTTGAAACTTGTCGACCCTGGAGTCACTCCGTTCACTCCAACCAAAGGAAAGCGTAACGTCTTTATGTTCGTCGGTCTTCAAGGTTCTGGAAAAACCACAACGTGTACCAAAATGGCGTACTATTATCAAAGAAAAGGTTGGAAGACATGTTTAATCTGTGCGGATACATTCCGTGCTGGAGCTTTCGATCAATTGAAACAAAACGCAACAAAAGCTCGAATTCCATTCTACGGCTCGTACTCGGAAATTGATCCCGTCAAAATTGCTGCGGAAGGAGTTGAAAAATTCACAGTAACTATCCAAAAAAGGATTTTGAATTTCCAATTTGTTTTTCAGCAAGAAGGCTTTGAAATCATAATTGTTGATACATCTGGTCGTCACAAGCAAGAAGCATCACTTTTCGAAGAAATGCTTCAAGTTTCAAATGCTGTGAATCCAGATAATGTGGTTTTCGTTATGGATGCCTCTATCGGTCAGGCTTGTGAGGCTCAGGCTCGTGCTTTCTCGCAAACCGTTGACGTTGCCAGTGTTATAATTACCAAATTGGATTCTCATGCAAAAGGAGGAGGAGCACTCTCGGCGTAAGTTTTTTAGAAAGACTTTTTTTTATTAAATCACAACCAAATCTTTCTTTCATGGTCTCAACATTTCTTGTCACTGATGGATTTATTCATGCAATAAATCATGTGAGAAATTGCGCATTTTTCCTATGAAACCAGCTCATTTTTTTTTTGAAAAAAATATTTCATGAATAAGCCCATAAAACGAATTGCAGTGTTGCCGTCACAAAATCCCCAGTAATATTCATCGGTACTGGCGAACATATCGATGATTTCGAAATCTTCAAACCAAAATCTTTCGTTCAAAAACTGCTCGGAATGGGTGACATTGCTGGACTTGTTGATATGGTCAACGACATTGGAATGCAAGACAACAAAGAACTCGTTGGGCGACTCAAACAAGGTAATAAGTTCAGCCGAATTTATTTCGAACCTATTTTATAAATTTTTCTAGGGCAATTCACTCTTCGTGACATGTATGAACAGTTCCAGAATATTATGAAAATGGGACCTTTCAGTCAAATTATGGTTTAAATTTTCAGAGTTTCCATTAAAAAAAATTTAATTGCAGAGCATGATTCCTGGTTTTGGACCAGAATTCATGACGAAAGGAAATGAGCAAGAATCAGTAAATAGATTGAAGAAAATGATGACAATAATGGATTCCATGAGTGATCAAGGTATTATTAATCGATCTTGATACGCTTTTATTATCTTCTGCAGAATTGGATCATCCTAAAGCTTCGGATTTGTTCACAAAAGAGTCGAAACGGGTGATACGAGTTGCTCGTGGATCAGGAACATCGCAATTGGAAGTGAAGGAGCTTCTCGGCCAATACAAAAAGTTCTCGGATGTTGTGAAGAACATGAAATCTATCAAAGGATTGTTCAACGTAAGTTGTTGAAATTATGGTTGTTTTCTTTAATTGCCTCGATTTAAGGGCAAAAACGGCGATATCAACCCGAAGAATGTCAATCCACAACAGATGATGAAATTGAATCAGCAGGTATTTTTGTTTATAGCTCAAATTTGGTAATTATTAAAAAATATTATGTTCAGATGGCAAAAATGATGGATCCAAGAGTTTTGCAACAAATGGGAGGAATGAGCGGTCTTCAGAATATGATGCAGCAAATGTCACGTTCTGGAAAAATGTGATTTATTGAAAAAAAAAGCATAAGATTACGTATTAGAGCTACTGTGATTTTGGAGAAACTCATTTCCATCTAAAATATTTATTTTGGTAGAAAATGTATTACCGATTGTTTTCGTTGAGATCAAAATATTATTCTTATTCATTGTTTGTGTAAATATACTGAATTTGTTCTCGATTTCTACTGATATTAATATTTATAATCCCAATTTGATTTCGATAAAATTTTATTCGTTAAAGAAGTTGCGATATTTGTGTTATTCTGTGTTGTCTTCAACTAGTATATTTTATTTCGAATTTTTTGGACTGATCAAGATTTTATATTTTAGATGCCACCGAAAACGCGAAAAACAAAGATTGAAAATTCTGAGGATAGTGAGGTAATATCGAAGTCGCGCGACTGCTCAAGCTAAACGTCAAAAGCAATGGCAGTGGTCTTGTCGCAAAACGAAAAGTTTCGGGCCTAACAAGTATAGGGGTAGGTTAAGGGTGCACACCGCGCACCAAAAACCTTTCCCATATATTTTTTGGCATTTAACCTAATTTTTCGCAGTCGCACGACCTCGACAATAATTGTCTGATGAGTTGAACAATAAATATTAAAAACAATCAATTTCTCATATTGATTGCAAAAATTTCAAGCATAAAGCCTGGAATTTGAATCACACGAATTAACTCGAAGATAAGAATGACTGACTTATGCAAAATTTGCAGAAATTTTCAGGAAGTCTATTTCCGAAAAAAAAAACGTTCTACAAAAATTATTCACCTCAAAAACCATCTCATATTTCGCATTATAAACTTTATTTTCAATTTCGCAATTAAATTATGTTTACTCACAATTTTCGAAATTTCTTGGTATTCGAAAAAAAAAATTAAAACAGACGAAATATATTAAAGTGTATTGAGGAAACATTGATTTTATTATATAGAATTCGCACGACATTCCTGATTTGAAACCGGAACCTCTTCCAACTTCTGACGATAGTTACAAGCGAAAAATTGTAATTGGCAAAGGTCTGTATTGAATTTTTATTATTTTTTGCGATTCCCGAATTTTAAGAAAATTGTATCGCTAACTCCCAGATAATAAAGCTGCGGCATCCAAAAGAAGGATTTGCATTGTTTCGAATTGGTGAAGATATTTTCGACGAGGTTCTTGCCGTGGACGATGGGAATCGGTCATGGTTTTATGGAAACAGTGTGATTGGAGATGGGTCGGTTCAACTTTTCGCGCCGTTCAATCCAATTTTTGTCGTTTTACCATATTTGATTAAAAATAAGGTTAATTTATCGAATTAGACGCGTTTTTGTTTTACAATTACTTTATCAGGAAAGATTTATGGAAATAGAAGATGTTTTGTGCGACGATCAAGTCGAAGCAATCAAGGAATTGTGGAATCACAAGAAACTTCTTGACGCTTTGAAAAATGTTGCTGACGTCAAAGGCAAGAAAGAAATAACGTAAATCTTGTAATAGAAAAGTACTTTTGAGAGAACGCCCATTCAGAGAGGCTTCAAAAAATAAAACGGCATGTCTATTGCACCTTTTACTAAGTATGAACGTCTAATTGCATCTGAACGAAATTTTAGATGTATGCGATTCCAAAGTTGTTCGAATAAATGAGGAGAAATTATTAAAATGGATTCGTGGAAAATTTGAAATTCTCAAAAATCAACTGTCCGATGATGTTCACAAGTCTCTTTTGGAAAACGGTAGTTCATTTATTCAAATGATATTTTAAATATTAGTATTTTAGATGAAGCTTTTGAACGATACGTGTTTTCTTTCTTATCAGATTATTTGTGTCCTGAAGTAAACATTTTTAAAGAGAATTGAAGAAGGAGAATCAATTTAGATTTGCGTGATGGCGAGAAATAGTTTAAATATCAAAGAAGCTCCAGTTTCTGAAAATATTGATATGAGTATGAAACGAAAGTTGATGGACGAGGACGACGAGATTCCGAAAACAGTTGCCAAGGTAAAAAGAAAGTGAATTTTGTAAATTTCCAAATATCCTACGGTCACCTGGCGCAACCTCTTTAATATCGCTGAACCACGAATCCTAGAAATTATTTTGCAGAGACCTCGCGAATCTTTAGTTGCGAAAAAGCTACAGGCAGCCAGTAAAGGAACAAAATCCATAGCGAGTTTCTTCGGTAAAAAATGATGTTGTATTACATGTATTGTACCATTTTTTGTACCATGATTTTTTCTATAACGAGTTTTAAACTGATCACCTGGGAATCTCACTTTATTTTGAATAAACGTTGAACAATTTTTGTAAAATTTTTTAGCCTTATGGGTCAAAACCCTACGATATCGTTTATGTATCACATATATATTTATATTTGAAATGAAATTTCGTTTTAAACAGTATGGCATCGAGAATCGCAGCTTCTCGTATAATACATGCCGGTCGAGGAATTGGTCAACCAACCGCGTTCGGAAAAAGGATGGAAAGGCTTTCGAATCGTGTTTGGGGCGAAGTAGTGATGCCAACAGATACCAAAAGTTTGAAAGTGGTCCGAGTGATGTCTGCTGAGCCGTATGAAACCAAAGAGCAACTCTCTCCAGAATATTACCCAAATCTTCCGATGTTCCATTATTTGACGAAAATGCTTAGATTCCATGGATTGTTCTTCGATGATCATGTTATTTTCAGAGAGGTTTCGGATATATTCTTAAGTCAAACCTTTAATTTCGAAATTTAGGTTCAAGATAATTTAAAAATTATCCGCGGAAAAGTCGTTCGACCACCTATTGGACAAGGCAAACGTGCACAACTTCGTGGCAAAAAATAATTGTAGCATTTCCATAGTATTTTCAGATTAGATTCATCGTTTTCATTGTTGAATTTTTAATAAATGTACATCTAAACACGCGTTTCTTTTCTTATCAATTGCTGATTTCGATGCGTTTTTGCCTTATCTTGAATAATTTTGGGAAATTTCGACAATTTTACTGAGAAATGAAACGAAGTTCGGATGGTTCGAAGAAGTCTTCGAATGAGAAACGTAAGAAATGTTATTTCTTCTAATTTCGAAAAATTTTTTTAGCACTTAAAGATTTATTTGGAAGGCCGATTAAAAGCGATGGGAGTTGGAGTTCTAAAGTAAGATTCTTTTATTTTTTTTTCGTAAAAATTGATTTCTTTAAAAAAATTTAAATGCTGAAATGTTAATATATTAATAGGGAATTACACATTGATCGCGTGAAACCATTGATAGAAAAAAAAATTTATTAAGTGTCTCGAGCGAGAGAGATTTACGCGTGATTGCGCACTATGCATTTTAGCGTCCACGCATTTAATATTTCATAGATTTGCAATATCGTCGAGAAGATCGAAACCGATTTTGCGAAATCGAATTTCCCGCCATCGTTTAGTCATTTGATGCCGACAGTATTATCTAACAAATTATCAGTTTGTGTACTTTACCCGTATATCAATCATTCAATCTATTCTTAAGATAACCGTTTATGATTATAATTTCTAGGGAGGTGACGATCTTCTGATTTTTACCCACGATGAATGCAAACCGAAACAGAAAGTTGCTTGTTTTGACATGGGTATTTAAGAAAATCTGATCACTTAACACGTATTAAGATTGTAGACGGAACTCTAATAACTACAAAATCAGGAAAAGTGTTTGCTGTTGATACAAATGACTGGAAGCTTCTTCATGCACATATACCGAAAACTCTCAGAGAACTTCATAACGACGGATTCAAAATTGTCATTTTTACAAACCAAAAAGGAATCAAAGTGGGAAAAGTCGATAAGAACTTGTTTAAAAAGAAAATAGAGGCAATAATTGCGAAACTAGGAGTACCTGTCCAAGCATTCGTCGCTATTTCCGATGGAATCTACCGTAAGCCATGCATCGGAATGTGGAAAGAATTGGAAGAGCTAAATGAAGGAATCTCCATTGAAAAATCAGCCAGCTTATATGTTGGCGATGCAGCGGGAAGACACAAAACAAGCGTATTTCTATGTTTTCTAGTCATGGGTTAATTTATAATTATAGATTAGACCAAAAAAGGACCATTCATGTGCGGATCGATTTTTTGCCTTGAATGTCGGGCTCAAATTTTACACCCCAGAAGAATTTTTTGAGAAAAATCAACAGCAGGAACCATGGGGTCCACCGGCATTTGAACCCAAAAATCTTTTCGATGAATCTTTAAATGAATATGTGCCAAATGGTTGGCAAACATTAGCACACATAATATTTATTGATTGATTTAGATACCAAGATTCCATCAGATAATCTTGAAATAATAGTATTGGTTGGATTTCCGGGATCGGGAAAGTCATCGTTTTCGCGATCACTTGCTGAAGCCCATGGTTACGTCGTAAGTATTTTGCCATTGTTGTCATATTTCCGCAAATAAATTTTATAAATTTTTAAAGGTAGTAAACCGGGATACACTCGGCACTTGGCAAAAATGTGTTGCACAGACGAAATATGCTTTGAATGAAGGAAAACGAGTAATTGTCGATAATACCAATCCAGACAAGGAGTCTCGGTTTCATTTTTTTCTTATTTAAATTGCGTTGAAAGTTCTCATTTAGAAAACGTTATATCGACGTGGCGAAAGAACTCGGTGTAGAATGTCGGTGCTTCAAAATGAACTGCGATCTCGTCCAGGCTGAACACAATGTGCGGTATCGTAGTCTAATAAATGAAGATGCTCCCAAAATCGGAATAATGGTTTTAAGAATGCACAACTCTAAATTCCAAGTACGAGGTGGTTTTTATTTTTTTAATTATAGTTTTTTAAAGGAACCAGATCTTGCTGAGGGTTTCAAAGAAATTGTCCTTGTTAACTTCAAGCCGAAGTTTGATAGCAAAGAGAATAAGGAGCTGTTTTCAATGTATCTCATCGAATAATTTATGTGAATGTGAATATAGTTAGTATCAAACAAAATACACATAATTAGTGAATCATTAACATAATGAACACCGATGTAATTGCCATGAGAATTGATGTCAAGGAGCTGCTGCCCTCTGTTGGAAGTCGCAATTCAGGGAGCTGAAATATTGATAAAAGAACTTTCGTCTTCGAATTTTTTATAACTCAGTACCTTATCAACTTTGTAGATTCCGCAGTCTTTGGGGAAGTTGTCAGGAGGCATGTATATTTGGTTGTGATCACCAACTGAATATGCGTATCCCGTTCCACCCATTAAATGAAGCTCTAGATGACAATGTGCGAACCACCATCCTGGATTTGTTGCCTTGAATCGAATGGTGATATAACCACCGACCGGAATCGTAACCGTGTCTCGCTTAGTTGGGTTTTTGGTATTCATTCCTTCTACTGCACCATTCAGCCAATTCGTGTTCTTCCATTTTCTACCATTACAACTCTTGTAAGGACCATCGCAGTTAATGTCCGAGTTCAATTCATTGATAAACCCAGTCGAATTATACTTGGGCCAACCAACTTTCATGACATAGAAATGGTGACCATGCATATGGAATGGATGAGCATATCCTGATCCCAAGAAACCACCAAGTCCCATATTGTAGATGGTTATCTGTACTGTATTATTCAGTTTGTGCTTCAAATGGTAGAAACATCGACACCGATTATCATTGTCCGATGAAGTGTCATTTGCACAAAGCGTATTAGAACAATCCTAAAATCAAATGGATACATTTGTATTTAAAAACATGGAAACCGTTGAAATACTATCCATATCGTTTTCATGGTAGTAAGGAATTCCCCAAGGAAATTGGAACATGAATTGATCCATCTGAGAGTCATGATGCATATTGATGAAATATTCCTAAATTTTTTTCTCATTAAAAAAGTGTGTTTTTTAAACTTCGTAATTTTCAGTAAATGGGGTATCTTGAAGAATTTCCTTGTCAATTTCATCAACTTTCGGATTTTGTAATTTATCATAAGCGACGCAAGTGAAATTTGGTTGGGCTTTCCATTCCTCAAACGGGCAGTTCAAAACCAAACATTTTTTGTTGGCGGTACAATCAGGATGCATTAGATTTGCTGAATAGTTTATATATCTTCTCCAATGTGATGTATAATAAGAACGTACGTGTTGAAACATCTTCCGGCAGATTTTCTCCTTCGTACTCGAGGAATCCAAATCCATAATCAATCGGAATGATATTCCAATCGAAGAAATACTTCTGCACAGTTTCTACTTGCATTTTATAGCTTTTCTTTGTCGGCTTGTCGAGTGTCCTGATGAGAACATCGTAACGTTCTCCAGGGAACACTATGAGTTTATCAACTTTCATCGGTACTACTTCGTCTCCATCAGCAGCAACAACGACCATCTCGTGATCTTCGAAGTAGAACATTAGTTCTTGAGCGACACCGCCATTAACGATTCGGAAGAGAACATTTTGATCTTAAATTACAATTATAATTACAAAAACAACGCAATGATATTACTAGGCTTCACAAGGAACCTCTCAAGTGGCAAATTGAATGGTTGACTCTTAACAATTTCCTGATCATACCATCCCTTATTATTGATAAGGATAGATGAAAGCGGAATAGCTCCACCAACGTTTCCACCATCAGTTGTTCGAGTAGGTTCCCAACATTTATCAAAGTTGTCATAGCCGTAGAACCATTTCATCGTCTTATCTTCGAGTTGCATCCAGGACTCTTCTCCTGATTTTATGGCCCAGTCCTGAATAAAATTGGCCACTTTAATCGAATTTTTGTGGTTACTTGAAGAAGAATGAAATATTCGACGTCAGGAGTTATTCGATTTCCTGCAAGAGTTGGAACACTGCGATCTTTTGGATCGATGACGACGAATCCTCCGGCGATTCCGTCTCCTCTATCAACTTGTAGATGTCCGTGATACCAATGAGTTCCCTTGTTATCCGCAATAAATCGATATTCAAACCCATTTGTGCTTTGAATCGGACATTGCTGAACAAACGCAACACCATCCATAAACCACATTCCGTGCTTATCAATTCCATGAACATGGATTGTCGTAGAATCAAGAAGCACGGAATTCCGTACTCGAATCCAGACTTCTGACATGTAAGGAACTACAATTGGTTCTCCAGGCCTTAAATGTTAGGATATATTTGAAAGCGTCATTCGTGTATTACATGTCCCCATTAATAGTGATAACTCTTTTATGAAGTCCATCAGCTACAAGAACATCTTCAAGTCTATTTTGATCATCAGGCTGCGAGTTAATATTTAATGAGTAGTTTGCAAAGCATGGCTTCAGCTGGTCTGGTTCTCGTTTTGACCATGTTTGCTGAAAATCTATCTGTATATGTATTAGTTGATCACTAAAATAAACCGTTTTATAATCATAGTCAACTGGAGTTGCATGCTTTGCTACATTGTCATTGTTATAACTCATTGTGAGCTTCTTGTAAATATTCATATCATAAGCATATACTCCGTTCTGAAAAAATAATTGGTTTAGATTTTAATTAAATCCATGAAAAGAATATTGGTTCGGACTTATACCTTATCGGGCTCCATAATCGTTATAGGCTTTGCATATTTTTTGTACGTATGAATATTTTCGACCGCGAATACTAATAATAGATACAAACTGAACCTGAACATCTGAAAGAAACTCATTGAAACAATCTTAGTGAGAGCTACAAATTTGAACTGCGTTATCAAATCACACAAAAAACGAAACTCCCGCACAAAAGTGCCATATTTGACGCCTTAAGGCGCTTTTATCAATGTGCATATCGCGATTTAAGCACATTTACGTGCAAATAAGGAAGTACACAATTCAGCAAGTCTTCAAATTTATTATCAATATCGCATACATTAAAAAATAGCCTCAAGACAAATATAAATATAGATCGACAACATAATGGGTAAATAAATAACAACAAACATAAATCGAGATATAAAGCAAATAACTTTGAACGAAAAATTAAACGGCAGTTTTGTCAACCTTCGTCGAATTATAATGTTCACCGAGTGCGTAAGCGCGACGTAAATAAACGATTCGCAACGGTTTCAACTCTTCGTTCATAAATTCTTCACCGTATATGCGGTTACCGTCGACTTTGAATACCTGAACCAATTTTTTAAAACAAAAAGAAACTGGTCTTACCTCAATCGCCCTCTTCAGGCATCTCGAAAGGGCATTAAGTTCGAGTTCTCCTCCCCACACTCCTCCAACACATGCTAAGCATCGGACGCCGTTCAGATATTTTTCCCAGTTCACATTTCCATGCTCATCCTAAATCCTTTGATTAATTTAAGCACTTTTTATTGTAATATTTCATTCAAATAAAATTGAAAATATTTCCTAGTTGATGATAAAATTTCCTGCATCAATTATTCACATATTAAAATTTTCCAAATGTGTGCAATTTCACACTTAAAAATTATTGTTTTTAAACTGATAAGACCACAATTTTTAATCAAACCGATAGGTCGTCATAATGAAACCAGCACCGATCAAAAATCTTCACAATCGAAAGAGCAAAATTCGGATGCAATAAAACAAAATTATATATAAGAGAGTTTAAGAAAATTTTTTAAATAAAAAGAGCCGAAACAAATTTTAATTGAACAAAGGATTTTTGCGAACATCTATTCAAAAAATAAAAACAAAAACAGATTCGACAATTTTAAAATCTTATCTGTAGAATTTCCAATCGTATAAGGTTGATTCCGGAACTTAATTGTGTCGGATCCGATTGGTTTTGAGTTACCAGAGACATTGTGACTAAATTGATTAACAATGGGAGCCATATTTTGTTAAGCAGTCATCCCGATCAAGCATTTGGCCCACTGTTGGCGGGTGCCGATTGACATTGGAACAATAAATTAAGGGATGACTTGACACGACTTTAGCTTTTTTTTTAATAATGCGACCCTTTATTCAATTATTTTGTTTAGACCACGAATCTACATATTTAATTTTTGCGTAAAGAATTCCGTCATAGTTTTTTTTGGCATATAAAAATGTACCGCTTCAATAAAAGGCATAAACTCCTCTTCGTTGTTCTTCATATAAGTTGCACACATTTCTCGGAGTTTATCAGGTTTTATCTAAAGAATAATTTGAATCGAATTTAGACATATTTGGAAAAATAACATACATCAATACTATTTTTGGCAAGTTGATGAGAAAGAGCATTGTACATACAGTCACCGTCGGCAGAAATATCGACCATAACCAACTTATGTTCTTTGAGAATCTACAATAATAAAAAAAAAACAAAATTTTAAACCAGTAACGGCGTCAAATTAAATTTGGTGGCCCCTCAATTGGTTACGGCTTCGAATAAAAATTATATCTTCTAGTTTAAAAAATATATCAAGATTACCTCGGAAATACATTCTTTTTCCAAATGTCGTTCCGATGTCTTCTCAGCTGCTTTATCGGCTTTCATTGCTTCTTTCCATTTTTCTTCTTTTGCTTTTAATTTAGCTTGTCGTTTGGCTGCCTTTCCAGTAATTTTGACTTCCCTATAAAACTCTCCTTCTTCTGGAAGAATATCCTCTGGTTTCAAAGCATTTGCTTCAGGTTGCGGCTGCACCTGAAAATCGGAATCCGCATAATTGGACAATTTCGATTAATTACCGTCACAACCTGCTCTTCAAGCTCTTTCTTATGCCGCTCTTCCATTTCTTTTTCCATTTTTGCAATCTAAAAAAAACTTATTTTGGTTCAATATAAAATTAAAGTTCAACCTCAGCATTCGTTTCCTTTTGTTTCTGCTTGTTTCCGCATTTTGCGGTTTTTTTAAGAGAATTTGCTTTTTCTGAAATGCAGTTGAACATCGAGAGTGAAATAAAGGTCGACATCGATAAATAAAAATCGTTATCAGTAGATCAAATAAGTTATCCTAAAAAATTATTGTAATTTTTAATTCTGGAAACTAGTATAAAACTGAATTATATTTGAATTCAGAATTTTTCAAAAATCAAACTACATATAGTAGCTTTCATAAAGAAATAACGGATTTTTTAATTAAACGCTTTTTACAGCATTACGTCCAATCCCCCAAAAAAATCAAAGAATTTAAGCCTAACACTGTTTTTTTAACGAATTCTGAATACAACTATAAATGCCAAAAAACATGAGAGAGGTCTTGACAAAATCTAAATGTGTAGGAAAATTGTTAGGATAAAGGTGCGCACCTAGTCCAAGTCGATTCCTCCCCCAGTTTTTTTGACATTTATCCAATTTCCACAATCATTCGACTCCGACAATATGTATTCCAACATTTTTTTCAAGAATTTCATCAAATCGGTCCATAACACTCAAAAAAACCGAATACATATCCGCACACCTCTTAGTTCCTTTTTTTCCTTCCGATGCCTTGCTAATATTGGATTTTCTTCCTCATCAGACGACATCTGCGCACTTCGCTTATATTGAGCCCGTTACTTTACCAAATACCGACAGGTAAACAACCATTATTATGTTCATTAACCATTTTTTTCAACAACTTCAATTTATTGGAAAGCAATAAAGTAAATATTAAAATCACAATAGAGAAATTAATTACAGATTAGCTGTTCAAGAGCAGCGCCAAGTTTTTGGGTATTCTCCAAAGAATCAGCTTCTGCATAAACTCGAACAATGTTCTCGGTTCCCGATGGACGAATAAAAGCTCTGGCATTTTCAAATTCGGAAACGTGATGGTTGATTTTCTCTTGAAGACCTTCTGGTTCAAGGAGAGTGGTTTCTTCCCAGGTAGTCTTGTAGATGGAACGATCAGATACAGGCACTTTTATTTGGATATTCGGCACATCTTGGTAAAGCTTAGTAGCCCAGTCCTCAATAGACCATCCGAAATGGCGAAGAACAATTTCCACCGCCAAAAGATCGGCAAACGCATCTCCAACCACTTCGTTTATCAGACGAGAAAACAGTTTCAAACGACGAAGTGCAGCGTTGTCAGACTCGCTTCTAAATTAGAAGAAAATTATCACATTATATTGAAGAATTCACGTGCTTTCGTATCTCCTTGTCAAATTTTTCACTGAAAACCACAGTTCCATGACCGTTTGCTTCGAAGTACACGCCAATATCGTACTTAACAGCTGCATGATGAAGATTTTTGACACCGGTTGGCACAATTTCTGGAGTAACTCCAAGCTTCTCCTTAATATATTTCGTCGAACTGCCGTTCGCATAAGCTGTCTGCACAATTCCTAATGTGAGTTTCACATCAGAAGATTTGCGTAGCTCATTGAGTTGTTCTTGAATATAGGTAGCAAGAAGAACAGCAATTTTGTCGCCGTCAAGAATTTGAATATTTTTCGAGCATAGTGGTCTGAAGTAAATCAATCGATCAGCGTCACCGTCAAAAGAAGCGCATTTTTCATCAGCTGCAGTAAAATGTAGTGGTAAACTTTGCGAAATTTTAACAAAATCTGCACCACACTAAAAGAAAAGAATGATTAAAATTTAAAAAAAAAAAACAACTCAAACCTTGTGATTAAGGTCGCCTTTGATATTTCTAAAATTGACATTAAGATATTTATTATCAATCAGTTTCAGAAGGTCCATAAAACGAGGTGCTCCAACTCCATTAGCGCAATCCAACACAAGATTTTTTGAATATTTAGAATCTTTTGGTTCATCAGTAATCTGCAATAATTATTTGAATTTCTTTTTGTTTTTCTGGTGTTCTCTATTTTACTTCGTAAAGCTCTTTGAAAACTGTTGAAAAAGCTTCATAATATCCTGACTCTGACGGTTTTCCGAATTCTGAGTCGTTATTGGCTCGAACAATGTAATGCAGCTGTGGAGTGGTAAGAACTCCCAGATCCTCAAACTCGACATTTGCCATTGCTGTTCCAGCTTTAGCGGCAAGCATCAGATGAGGTCCACTTTCTCTCGTGTCCATGGCGCACACAACCTTTGCTTTCATAGCACACATTGCGTTCACTTCGAGTTCAAGAGCACAGATTGTCGATGGCAGATCATCATCTGTGGAATTGACAAGCTGTGTAGCAAAATTTTCCCATTCTGGCGAAAGCATATCGCCCATTGGATCCACTATTTTCACACCATTGTCACATGCGGGGTTGTGCGATGCGGTGATCATTAATCCCGTCGTTTTATCAGTTTTCCTAATTAAATTTGCTATTTGAAATTATAAACTTGTAAGTATCTTACTTAGCGCGCAGTCCAGCAAGATAAGCACAACGGAACACGATGAACGATAGCTTCTCGGCCTTATTGCGAAATCCTGCTGTTCCATATGAAAACTTTTCAGAGTCTTCAATTGAGACTGAATCGCCGCTAGCAGAAGTATTCACGTTTCGAGTGTATTGAGATGGAATTTCAAAAGACATTTCTGAAAAATAAAAATGAATGCAAAATATTTACCATCACGATTAATGATTGCAGCGATAAGATGTGTAAAATATAAAATGATGGAATGTGCAAAACATGTTGGATATTGCTTATTGTGCGAATTGTTCCACCCAAAGTAAGCGCCAAAATAGCTTGTAGGTCAAAATCTTACCAATAAAACAAAATTAGTCTGATTTGCGCGGGCCGACCGAAATCTTCTCATTTTCACTTCCTTAACTGAAAATAATGACAGTAAAATTTCAGTAAACTGGACAACATCAAACTATGACATCGCATGCGCAAAATATCTGTATTTTGTATCGCGATTTTATTTAAAAAAAACTATTTTTAAAAATTTGCATAACAATAACAACTGTCTACTCACCTTAAGGTATAATTATTTTTCTTCGTTTAGCTGATCTATAGTTAAATCCAGATAGTCTTCCGTTTCAAAGTTGGCAATGAATGAAAATATAAATTATCAACAGAGCGCAGATGCTCTCAAAAAAGACATGTATTTCAGGAATTTAAGCATGTCTCGTTTATCTCGATATATTTTCTTAAATTTCTTTTTTCTAAAATATAAAAGGAATACATATTTCAAAAGATGTTTTACAACATTTCTCTTCTATCAGTGTAGTTTTGCTTATAAATATTACCTTAGAAATGTGTGTGGCTATCTTCATTTTTCTTTACTAATAATCATGTCTGCTCACATCAGTTATATATATGCTTAATTAATAAAGAATAAAGGATATATCTTAAGAAAAGTGTACAAATACCAAATGCATACAATATTATTCTTAAAAAATGAATCAAAAAGAAAATCACTGGTGAAATAAGACGAAAAACGTTTAACATTTATTTTATTATTCCTGTTGCTGCACTTTCAAATCGGCCTTTCTCTTAAATTTGCTCTTTCGATGGTTGTTTCTCATATGTTGAACCAGATCTCCTGTGAGTCTGGAAGCATTAAATGTTGAAAGTAATAAAATACTTAAGTACACCTGAACGATACTCCGCAGACGGCACAGCAGTTCTCATTAACTAATTGAGAGCCGAGAACACTAGCTACAATCGGATTCTGAAGGGTAATCGGCTCTTGTGGAGGAGTTGAATGAACTGAAGGAGCAGGTGGAGCAGGAGCACGTGGCATTTGGATTAAGCCGCTCATCATTTGGCGTCGGGCGAATTCTTCGAATTGTCGTTGTTGTTGAAGTCGCAACATCAATGGAGCAGCCAGTTGGAGATAATTCTGAATAATGCCGTTTTATGACTATTTTTTTTTAAATTTCGGAACCTGAAAAATATTTGGAAAACCGGAATTCGGAATCGATTTCGAGCAATCTAATGGCGCGTCCTCTGAATTTTCGGCATTTGACGAATTGTCAGAATCGTTCTGGTTGTCGTTTGCAGTAACTGCCGGATTCCAAATACGGATCTTTTTTGACATTGGCTCCTCCGTCATCGCAACACTAAACCAAAACAGATTTTAACAATATTAGACGGCTACGAAACGAAAAATCCAACTGAATACGAGCTGTGATAGAATGAGAAAGAGAAAAATAAACCAATAATTACAATAGTACATGGTGCGAATTACGCAAGCAAGTCAACCACCGTATTCTCAAGATTACGAGCCATACTACTTGTCGAGAGCCAGCTGCCTAATTACCTAATACACATCTTGACTATGCGAAACATAGTATTAACTATATGGACCAATTGTAAACCTATTGTGAACATCTGAAGGTCAGCATTATTTGTAAGGTCAGCGAAACTGATGTTCGAATAAAAGCAAAATATTTTTTTGGAAAAATACTAAAATCTTTTTCTTTTAGAAATAGACAATATAATAATTGTTCCACTAGACGCGTACAATCATTTTTAATATCTCGAGCTAGCTAATATGAAATGCAAACCAAATCCGATAATTGTTATGTTAGAAGAATCTGAGAAGGCACGTCTATGTAGGTATATTGCAATTCATAGCGCATATTAATTAGCATAAATCAAGATGCTCAATGAATGCGTAAACACCTTGTGGATGAATATTCATCACAGAATTTGTTATTCTTTGCCGTATGGGATACGGTAGATGTGAGACGGGGAACGAGGTGTGAAGAAGAGAAAAGTATTGAGAAGTGACCGTTTCGTGGGAGCGCCAAAATGCTAATTTTTATTGGGCTGAACATTTCGACAATTCTGCAGATGTCACAACTTTCTCTGTTTTCAAACCATACAGGTCACATCATTTTCGAACAAATTTCGAATTGTGTATTTTGAGTTTCATTTGATTACTTTTTGCTGAAAACTCGAAAAAACCCTCGCTTATAAAAAATAAGAGGGGTGGCATATTTGAACTGCCAAAAATACAGGGAAAAAGGAACAATCGTCAATTGCGTTTGACTAAACTGCAAATAAGCATACATTCCGACGACATTGTCGCAAAACTTTTTCTATTAATAAGCGCCGCCTCTATTCATGTATTAGCTACCGTAACCGAAATTCAATTTGCGCGAAAACCAATAAACGATAAACATGGTGAATGGTTTGTGTGAAGACAAAACAAATTTGATTGTGTTAGCCGAAAAGAAAAAAAAACAAGGCGTCAAGTGTCAGTTGTCGAAAAGCGGACGGAAATTGGGTCGGATTGAGAAGGCAAGAAGTGGGCGTGGCCTCAGATACGCGCGACATTCTCCGGGGACGATGAGCCTCGGCATATTCGGTGAGATGCGCAACAATCCATTACAACTGCAAATGTATTCACTAGCAGTCAAATATTGGAATTTACTAGAAATTCAAATCAGCAATATGAGTTTACTACGTTTTTTTCCGAACCCGTTGAGATACTGATAAAACGATTATTTCTAGAATTTTAAAAATTAAAATAAATAATAATATAAATTTTGAATAATAAAAAATATAGATTTTTCGGAATGAGAAATTTATTTCAATAGAAAACCTTTTTTGACAGATGAAATTTGAGCAGCTTCATAGCGATTACATCTCCAATATTAACAATTTATAATTCATAATTGCCCTCCGAAAACCGATTATTCTCAAGGGGCGATGATCGCCATGTCGGCGGTGGAACTTCAAAAAGACCGCATGATTATTTGACACGATGCCAGCAACATCGGTGTCCTGCTGTGCTTATTGGTAATCTGAGAAGAGAGATCGAGCCGCAATACCAATACAAAACCAAAACAAGATCACGTATCGACGCGTATTTGTGTTTGCAATTGAGTTCCCATGGGTCCAATGAACTCGATTTAAACACACAACAGATGGTCTCTCTTCAGTTTAATTCATATTTCTTATTTGAATTTCCCCAAGTATTGAATGGAAAAATAAAAAGTCCAAGAGAAATTTTTAATTTGCTATTATTTTAATTGGAAACACGATAAATGTCATAAGAAGACAATTTTTAACTCTTTACAGAAATTGATTTGGATCTCAAGACAATAGCCTTTCAAATATTTCATTTCCTCGGTGTTTTTCTGATAAAAATGATTCTCGAACCCCCCGTTTATTGAAATTATCTCATTATCGTTTTAATTAATTTCGAAATGTTTTATTTTCTTCAAGACATTATTTACAATAAAATAATACGGTACGCATCACAATGATACACCACCCTTCAAATTTTGCGGATTTGAGAAACCCAGATCAATTGATGGCAAACCAATTGCATTTTCGAATTCGGGACCATTGAAAACCTATATGTGCATACTTTCACGATGGGTCCGTTGATTTGTGTCCGCACAGTCCGTTGGATTTTCAAGCGCGTCATAATGATACGCCACCCTAATGATTTCTTTTTTTGCACGCCTTTATTGCAGATTTTTTTTTAATTTTGTCATTTTTCACCAATCTTGTCTTTATATCTATTGAGCGATCGTCCGCTTTAGATTTGGACTGAAATCAGGTCGAATTTGGGCTTTTCAACGATATACTTTTATTTTAGAATGCAAGAAAAATGTCTAAATTACTTTAAAACAAGATGTTTGAATGTAAAACTTGCCTTGTGCGTAAACGGAATGTGCAAGAAGTCTTCAGGCATTTTCGATGAGATTGAAGTCTGGGGAGCTGGATGATCAATCCGAAAGCTTGATCTACTTAAATGAAAATCAATCGATGATGCTGTTGCTTCGATATTCCTGTTGGGATATTTGGTCAGACGATTTTAGAGTTTCGTATACAGTTGGGTTTTGCGGATAACGACGAATGCAATCTCGAGATCGTCCAATACGATTCGCAGTCGTCTTGACAATCTACTTACAGTACCGCTCAAAAGTCTATCAACCTTTGGTTTTTTGAGGATAACTTTTTTTAAAGATGCGGTATCGATCCAAAATTTTTCCCATTATTTTTTGGAGTGGTTTAACGTGTTTTGGCCAGCTGATTTGACACCTGCTTAATTAAAAAAAAATTTTTTGAAAAAAAATAGAATTTTCGAAAAATACCGATTTTTTGGGGTTTTCAATAAACAGTTTTGGTTTAACAAAAAACAAAGTTTATTAACAAAAAACAGTAACAAACATAATTTAAAGCTCAATATCGAGTTGCAAAGCCCTTAGCTTCAATGACTGCTTGACATCTTCTCGACATGGAGTCGATCAAAGTGTCGATGGTCGACATGGGGATCTTATTCCATTCAGACTGCAGTTGAGCAAACTTCTCATTGCAATTTTTGGCTCTTTTGTTGGCACAACGTCTTTCCAACTCTTCCCATAGATGTTCAATTGGGTTTAAGCCAGGAGACTGACTCGGCCACTCGATGACGTTGACCCGACGGCTTGCGAACCAATCCCGAAATTCATTGTGATGCTGTTTACTTATCAATTTTCTCACCTTAACGAACAAAGAAGTGTGTTTTGGGTCATTGTCTTGTTGGAAAACACTTCCACGACCCATTCTCTTCAAGTGCGGAAGCATCTGATTCTGGAGAATGTCTTTGTAGACATTCTTGTCCATGATCCCATTCACGCGATGAAGCGGTCCAATACCATTTCAAGAGAACGCACCCCATACCATACACGAACCACCGCCATGCTTCACAGTGGGTAATTGATACTTAGGATCATACCTGGACCCAATTGGTCTACGAATCCACTAAATTCCATCACTTCCGAAAAGCAGAAACTTGCTTTCGTCGGACCACAAAATCTTATCCCTGTCTTGTCTTGTCCAGTCGACGTGTTCCTTTGCCCACTTCACTCTGGCCATTCTATTCTTCTCAGAAATTAAGGGTTTTTTCACTGGACGTTTCCCATAATCCCAGCAGCACAGAGACGACGTTTCACAGTCGAAACGGATGGTGGAGATGGAGAATTCACGAAAACTTCCCGTCTGATTGCAGGGGCAGGGAGTCTAGGATTGTTTCTGGACGTCCGCAAAATATTTCTATCTTCACTACGATCAGTAATTCGTGGTCTCCCGGAGCGATGAGGCACAGAAAAATTTTTTTGAACTTCCCAGCGTTTACAGAGTTTGGAGCAGGGTTGTCAAAAAAACAGGGCCCCCCGGCCCGGCCCTGGGCCCTATAGGGCCGAGGCCGGGCCGGGGGGCCCTACAGGCCCAGTTTGAATTGCCGCCGACGCTAATTACACTAAACAATAGGCAGCGTAAACGCGGAGCGTCGTTTCTAGTAGTTTTTTTCTCTCATTCTATTGATTCTTTGCAACTTTTCTCATTTAATTAGCGATTAAATGTCAATTAAATAAAATAATTTTCATATGGATACTCCGTTGACGCCGAAATCAAGAACTTCTACAAACCATAGGACATTTAATAAAGAAGAAGTGAAGAAACGAATAATGGAATCTAACGTCGTTTTGGTAAAATTATTAATACTAGAATAAACTTTTAATGAAATAAATTTAGAGAACTTAATTTCATTCAATTTATAATTAAAATCTTAGAACGAAAGCGTTCAAATGCACTTCGCGCTCCATATTATATTGGTCTACTCGTGCACTATGAAGAATTGATGAACAGTATCGAGACTTATGAAGTATAATACAAAAATAATTTTAAAATGAACTTTCATTTAAGGCATTGCGGACATTAACAAGTCTGCGTATTTAGCATTAAAAGAAAATGTAACAGCGTATGGCAAAACCACGCAGCGGCTACGTTTTTAAATCCAGTTACGAAGGATTTGACGGTTTTACAAGACCTCGCGACAAGCATTCGGTAGATAACTTATTGATAATTTTAATAATTGAATTATTCAGCTGCCATTTGATCTTTATGAAGATGCAGCGGAATATATCACCAATGTTCATAACGACTGCTTCAACATCAAAGAGATGCGGCAACAAGATGAGAACAAACCAATAATTCCGCTTCCATCCATATTACAAAAAATCATCCCCGCTATTGCACCAACGAGTTGCACCATAAATGACGAGATTAATCGTTATAAAATCGACCAGAATAGGAATTCCCCGAAATCTATTGGCCTATGAATAGATCTATTTTACCCAATTTGTACCGCGTTGCCCGGAAAATCTTTTCATGTGCAACCTCTGAAGCTGCGGTTGAGAGACAATTAAGTCACGTTAAGTTCATTTTTTCTAATAATCGTAGACGAATGTCGTTTGCATACGCTGAAAAGCTCATTGTATTCAGTGAAATCCAGGCGAAAACCAACTTGAATATTTAATTTGTTTTCTATTACAATAAATTTTTTAGATATAAAACATGTAAATTTCAAACAATAGATCTATCTGTTTTGTATTCGAAAAATAATTCAATAATAACAAACTGAAAAATGTCCGCAGAAGTTTAAAATGAAAATTATCTTGTAAAGGTTTAAAACAACAGGGCCCCCGGCCCGGCCCTAGGCCCGGCCCTATAGGGCCCAGGGCCGGGCCGGGGGCCCGTTTTGACAACCCAGGTTTGGAGATACATCCTTTCGTTCGATTGAACATTCCGGCAAGCGTTTTCAAAGTAAGTCCACTTTGACGACCAGCCACGATGGCTTTTTTCTCGTTATCCGTCAAGTCTTTGTTCCCAAAAGCTCTAGGCATTTCTGAAAACATGAATAAGAACATATGAACGGATAACTCTAGAAAAATTAAAAAAATTAAAATTAAAAAAAAAGTTGAAAAACGCAAAAAACCTGAAAGTGTGTAAAATCGCGTCATGGACTTTGCGGATATGTGTTTGTGTACCGAATGACATGAATTATGTTTTAAACCCCATTTCACATTATCTCTGAAAGATTCATGTTGATCGGTGCAGTACTCTTTGAGAAATAAAGAAAAAACCAAAGGTTGATAGACTTTTGAGCGGTACTGTAAGTCTCACCATAATATTAAAATAAGCTGTCTCGTGTGAGCTAAGAGATTTTCCGCGGCCGATGATTATAAGAAGAATAAATGAAAAACGATTGGCCAAATGGTCCACACATAGAATGAAAAAAATAAAGCCTACAATCGTAGATTGATGAACAATTATGCAAAATTCATCGAAATCGGTAATAATGGAGCCATGCGCTATCCAACTATTGAAAATCCGACTTTTTTGGGCTAAGCGGATAGGAATCAACGGACCCTCGTGAAAATATGCACATATATGGTCTGAATGGTCCTGAATTCGAAAATGCAATTGTTCTGCAATCAATTGATATGGGTTTCTCAAAACCGCTAAATTTGAGGGATGGCGTATGTGGCGCATACTGTATGAGACAAACAAATGAGAAAAATTAGGAGATGTGGCCGCTGTCGAATTTCAAACCTCTATCACAAGACTCTCGTTGCTTTTGTCAATCGTAGCAAACAGTCGTTTTCTCAGTAATGAAAATCTTTGATAGAATTTCGAACTCTGTCGATATGACTTCACTTCAATCTTGGGTCGCAACAAATATTTCCTTCTCAGATAAATGACATAGCCAGTGAGAAAAACGGCGTAAATGTATACGGCATATATTAATAATACCCTAAGCGACGGCATATTTGTGTTTTTTTCTGAAATTGAAATAGTTGAATGAAATATTCTTTTTTGAAATCAACTTTGGCTTAGAATCGGTTGAGCAATCGGACGAGAAATACATTTGAGCTCGAAGCATTCTTCGTTTTCAGAACAGCCAAAGAAGACGTGAATATTCTTTAACAATTTCTCAAAATTGCCTAACAAATCATTGATTTATCAAACAAAACCTTATTGTATTGATTTTTAGCGAAATCATACAAAATGTCGAATTTGCACACATTCTCCGCTTCGATTTGTTTCTCGTCGGTTGCGAAAACGCGATTTTCTATTGTAATTGTAGAAATTTCCGAGAGCAAAAGTTCCTAAAGAGAACAAATTCTTCTTTGTTTCGATAATTGAGTTCAAATGATTACATTTTGCAGTTTTTTCATCAAACCAGGGCAACATTGCAAACCGCAAAGAACTTGGTCGTTTTTCGGACAAGATACCGATATTGATGTTAGCAATTCGGCGCTTGATTCGATATCTGAAATACTCAATTAATCGACACGATTTATCTCTTCCAATACCATAAGAATTTGAGTTATTTTTTGAAGCGACATATACAGGAAAGTTGAAAAATTGAAAAACGTCGAATGAATACGTCTGGTTTTCGGGAAAATCATCCGAATTGAGAAAATATTTGAAATTGTTCAGCTGAATATTCAAAAAATTGCATTTAATTGCGGATTTTGCGATTTGTGGCCATCGAAATCCGATGAAACACACCTGAACAATTCTGTTAGGGAGCAAGGCTTCTGTGAACTCATTTCCTTCGTGTTGATTGACCATCATAATCGCATCAATCTTCACAATATCCTTGATTATTTTGTAGGTATCCCGAATATCATAATTATTTGATTGACAGCTAATTGCCACAATTAATGCCGAATAAACAATATATGCTGATGTGTTCATGTTTTTAATTGCCCCCTGAATTTCTGATTTCGTCTCATATTTTTGTGAGTTGGCCAGGACCGATGAACGGGTTTAAGGGGGGGGGAAGCGAGCTGTGAGTAACAATTTTCAGATAGACCAGAACAACGCCACTACCGTGGTGAGCATTCGCCTAAAATTCAGCCCAAGAGGTCTAACTAAGCTCTCGGGGTTCATGGTCTCTTTCGGGCTTTTATGAAAAAGCGTTAGAACTCATTTAAAAGTTTCACTGAAACTCTAATATACATTTAAATATACGTATTTATCACAAATGTTATATGTATTACAATAACCGCGAAACCAATTAATTGAAAACAATTTGAGGCGTCGCGTGACAGCTGGAAATAGACGAAAAAAAGACATTGGCTGCGGTCTTGGCGCCAAGTTAAATGTGTCAATTTACTGGCCAACGCATGGGTTAAAGGCGCATACCGTACACCAAGAATTTTCCCTGAATCATTTTGGCGTTTATACAATTTTTCGCAGTCGCGCGGCGCCGAAAATATTAAATTAGAATCGATAATGTCGAAATGTACGGTTTATGCTCAACACGGGAAATATAAAAATGATAAGATTACGCCTCATATCACATAATATTTGAATCAATAAGGTGAATGCAAATAAAAACGATTGATTTATTTTAAGCTGAACGAAATCTTATTTGGCAGGGTTGGTAAATTGAAGCCGGGGCCGAAAGCCGGCCGGCCGGCCCGGCTTTCGGTTTTTTTTTGAATTCCCGCTTCGGCCGTGCGGCCGTAAACAACGGAGTCGGGGGCCGAATCGCGGGCCGAAAATTTGACAGCGAATAAAGCCGGCTTTCGGCCGGCCGGGCCCAAAATTTAACAACCCTGTTATTTTGAGATATTTTTTTGAATTATTGTCGGCGTCCGGCAACTACTTTATACGGGTAGAATTACGAGGATGCGCCTTTCTTTTGGTCTCGCGCGGACTAACTAGTTATTCTGCATTTAACGGGTCAATTTGATAATTTTTAAATTGAATGAAGTTGGAAATTCAAGGAAATCAAACTCTTCAACAAAAATGAACCGTTCACATGAAAATAGCAAAATAAGCGATCCCACGTGACGAGACCATAGTGAAAGGCGCATGCGCGTAAATCTATCCCTCGTACAGCAGTCGCAGGACGACGACTATATGAAAAATTTTATTTTTTTATTATCTTTTTTTAGTTTCACAAATCTATTTTTTAAAATTTCATTTCATAACTATGTCGGAATTTCAAAACTTCAGTTTCAAATTTTCAATATTTACATTAGAAATGTCTAAAAACTCATTAAATATTCGCTTTTATCTTAAATATTAAAATCACAACAATCAAGGGTTTTATGTGTATAACCTTCGATCGTCTCACTATTTCATATCGTCACCATTTCATGGTGAAATTCTTTTGCTTATCAACATTAGCGTGCAAATACATTTATGTGTGTGCAATTGTTGCATTCGCTTTTGATTTCAGGATGACTGATCGTTCAATTCCCCTTCGAATTCCGAGGGTCTCAATATCAAAAGCCTCCAGTCCTCTGTCAGCTTGGAGATATGAATCTCGTGAGTTTCGACAGAAAGAGAGTCAATCCCAATATGGCATTGCTCACTGCCATTCCTTAAAATCGTGTCGTATTTATTTCTATTGCAGCATTCACTGATCAAACCAGTCCCAGCTATATTGTGGATCATTTGAACACAAGACGACTCACGGAAATCGATCCATACCTTTCGTTAAGAAGTCCACGACTTGATTATTCTGCGATGCCATCTCATGTCACTTACAATTCGGTGCCACTTCGAATTCGAACCGCATTCTCCCCAACCAAAAGCGGGCGCGATTTTGCTTCGAATTACCCAGTGACTGCACAAATCTGCGGTTTGACACCTCCAAGAATTGCAGATCCAGCTGAAATTCAAGAAGAATTAACCACAAATAGTGAATCTGACGATTCGCCAAAAAGGTGACAATTATTATGAAATTCAAATATTATATACTTCTCTCTTTTTTCCAGTAATCACGATGTCGACAGACTAGCATTATTCAACAATTCGTCGTTGTCATATCAGCGAATTTGTTTTTTAATTTCTCGATATCCCGCTGTCGCACTGTGTCTGGTTTCGATGTGGATGATGTGGGGCAGAGGTCTCGAATTGAATTCTGTTAACAAAAATGAGCATGTATGCACAATTGCAATTGCGAAATGAATGCCAAAATCATTGATTTCAGATAGCTCATATTCTAGCATTTACGACAAGTGTATTTGTGCTCTCGTGTCAAGTCTTGCTGTCGGCATCGCATCACAACTCGTACAAAACTGCGAAGCTGCTTTCGAATTTCTACCATTTCGCAAATATCACCACGATAATGATAAGTATAACTGCCATCGTGTTCAGTGCGATTTCATTCAGCAATGTCAAAAGTGTCAAGTAGATTAAAGTTGATTCAACTTCACTGAAACTCGATTTTCAGCCGCGAAAAAGATATATGCCGACAAATGGATATCAATTATACAGGAAATCCTGACGGCGAATGCTTTTCTCCATACGAACGCACCGTCTTCCTCTCGATTATAATCGGCTCAGCATCGCTGATCATCGTTCTTTTTGTGTTTAGCATTGGTTATGGAGTTGTTGGTAAGATATTGAACACGATTTCAATCGTCGAATTCAAACCACGATGTTCGTTTTCAGGCCAGGCGCTAATGAAGAATAAGCGGCAAACGCAGTTCAAAATGTACGCGGCCGCGCAAGACAACGCCGAATTCCGCTACTAACGGAAATTACGTTCTCGCATTCTTCCATGAAAGTGTTTGTTGTTTACCGGATAAACGTTTGTACACCTTATCGCGACAAGTCATCAAACAGGCGAGCGCTCGCGCAACAATTGTAGTCGTCGTTCGACGGCGGCGGCGGCGGCGGCGAGGAGAAGAAGAGTGGTCGTATTCATGTCCTGCTAAACAATTTCTCCTTTTTAGTCGTTATCGCGAAATAGTGTGTTGCACGCGGAGCACACACATGTCGGCTCCGCTGGGAGTGAGCATCTTCGATTTTTTTGCAAGAGGACGGCCGCACTCGCCGGTGATCGCACAACTTCCGGCGGTCTCACCATCGGCCGAGGGGCGAGAGTGTCGATTCTGGAGCGCGCGCGTGTCACCGATATGTTTCCAGGCGATTTCCACTGGTTTCCACCCAATTTGTTAGCGAACCCGTTTTTTTTTTCTCCTCTTTCTTTTGCATTTTCCTAATGGACAACGAACTGGGCCAGAGTATGTAACGCCCTATAGGGAATTGGGCAAGTAAACACAATTGTCAAACACTATTAATGCCCCATTTTTGTTTGTCTTTAAGCCTATCAATGTCTCGCCGCGATTTTTTTTTATTTCGATTCGCTTTTTATTCTTCAACTTCATCATTCAACCATTTTAATGCAAGTATATAAAATCAAGTGTGGTTTATTAGGGGGGAGAGAGAGAGAGAGCTTTCCTGCGAGCACTTGAAACCCCATTTCTTGAATAACGAACGAGTTTTTCAATTTAGCACCCTTTCTGCGCCATTTTAATTTCATTTCACCCTAATGCATTCTTTTCTTTTGCCTTCTAACCCCCTAATGGAGCACACATATCGCTATTCTCCAAATTAGGTAATGTGATATTATTTGGGCGCACCTTGGCCTCGATAGAATAATTGTAACCATTTTATTCGCATTCGTTGTCGTCTCTTTTTATATCCTCGTCTGTTTCTGAACATTTCTGTTTGTCCAAGTCTAAACAATTCAATGGGGTTTTGGAACAGTTAAGAACACCAACATTCTAGACTAAATTGAGTCAAGTAGCTTCAATTTGAGCTAATTTCGGAATCTGAATTCGGCTGCATTGTTTCATTGAAGAAAAATTAGATTTTTGCGGAATGTTTTAAAATCAATAAAAAATCCACCCGAGTTTTCGCGTTTTCATTGATTTCATTATCCCAATTCAAAAGTATTTGCCAAAAATGACTACCAGCTGATTTTTTGAGCTTGGCTATGATTGGTCCGGAAATTTGAAATTATATTCATTTTGTTTTATTGCGCTCAATTTTCCAGAAGAACTAAAACCAAATTGGTATTATTCGGCGAAATTTTTCTAGTTCGATGTGATGCGAAAATGATGCCCAGAAAAAATTACTTAATTTGCATTATTTAGGTAGAGTAGCAAATAAGATTCACAAAATGTATTGATTGAGGGTCTAACTCGACACATGATACATATGTGCGTAGGCATTTCCCATCACCCGATTTCTACCAATGGAAACCCATAAAAAGCGAAATTTCTCACACGTTTTTTTGGCGGTCGGACAGGGCCGGGCCGGTTGGAAAAATCCCCCGTATTAGCAGCTGTTGACGCCTCGCTTCTCTGCGTCTTTTCCATCCCATTTTTGCCACATTTCAATTTGTTTCTTCTTTTTTTTTTGAATAAAATACGCCCATTTCTTTGTTTTACAATTTTATTTACGCATATTGCGTGTGCCTCTCAATGAATATTTTCATATGAAACACATCGACGTAAATATTGGCGTATTTGCACATTCAACATATGTGTATTCACAATCGCTTCACCCATTTTTAGAATATTCAATAATAAAAATAATAATAATATTTTGGAAAGTTATGCCAATTCGTTCATTCGTTTTATTTAGACCCCTGATGGCGGATGTCGCTTCGCCGGTCATTGACGAGAAGCCCTGCTTCGGCGCCAACCCCCAAATTTTCAAATTGGGACTCGGAAAACAGGTTTGCTGTCATTTGGCGAGACATTTAGTGTGTTCAGAAAAGGAGGAATGCAAAATTGAATCCAACGAGAAGGCGCTCTCAAAATTTTCAACAAAACAATACGCAACCTTTTCGAAGCACTTAATCTCTTGAGGGAATTTTGTTTCAAAAAGATACTTAAATTCTGTTCCTATAATCTAAAAATTCTCTAATCCTTTTTTATTTGTTTCCAATTGTTTTTCTTTAGCACATTCTCGCTCATGACATCGGTCAGGGTTCGCAATGTCGAAATTCGGCAACATGTCGTTGCGAGGGCCTCGACCTCCATTTTTGGCGGAAGATGTGCAAAAATTGCGGATGCCGGATGGATGAGCACGACGTCGTGCTACCCAATGAGTACGACCACGCACAAATTGTCATCGGGAGGCTGTTCGGAGCACGCGAGCACTTTGAGAAGGTCTTACCGCGACCCGGAATGATTCGACCGCCTGGAAATGACAATTCGGAAAATAATAGCACTTCGAGGTCAAATCAGCCAACAGCTGTCTACAATTTCAAAATGGGAGGAAAAGACGACAAGCAAGATAACAAAGTAATGATCAGCATGAGCAAGGCGAATGTGAATTTCGCTATTTCAGGAGAATATTCAGTACTCATGGGCGCCGTGTCCTGATAAGAATCTAGTCAGTCGCTACATGCAAAGTCTTCCGGAAGACGAGCGGCCCATCGTTGGATCAAAAGGCGAGCAAGTTAGAAAATCAAGGCTGCAGTTTCAGGTTAGTCGAAAAAATGTGTATAACCTGGTTGTATTTATTGTGTTGTTTCCTGTCCATATTTAGTCATCGTCATGGTCGACCCCATTGTGATCTCCCCCAACAAAAATCGTCCCGTCCTCAGCAATATGCTCTGAAATATCTAAAATGTTGCAGCTTCCGCTGTACGATTGCAATGTGGAAGATGCACGATTTGTGGAAGAAAAAGATGTGAAAACTCTTCAAAACTTTGTTGAAAACGTTCGCAACAATGTAATTGGCGTCGGAAGAGTCGTCGAAATCGGCTCAAATGTGAATGAAGAAGCCGAGGACTTCGAAACAACGATGACGAGAGCTTTGAAGGGGCTCAATATCGATGAAACCGTAGGCGATTGAGTCGAATTGTGTGCAAAATCAATGAATTAAGGAATGCAAAGATTGTGCGAAAACATTGAAATCAGGCGACATCGGAGTGGAATGTTGCCATCAGTCCCGTTTGGACACCTATCATCCAAACTGTTTCCGCTGTGAAACCTGCCGACAACTGCTCGTCGATAATATATATTTCTTCTATAAAAACAAGTAACACTTGAAACCAATTGCGCAACTAGACTAACTCGATCAGGTATTATTGTGGACGACATTATGCCGATCAGTTGTATCCGAGGTGTGCCGGCTGCGATGAGTTGATATTCGCCAACGAATACACGTTTGCAGAGGAGAAGTCGTGGCATTTCGATCACTTCGCATGTTACAAGGTATCTTTCGAAAGACCACTTCAATCAGAATAAATCGAATGTTTCAGTGTGATTTCAAACTAGGAGGATCTCGATATATGACGAGAGATGATAATCCATATTGTCTCGACTGCTACTTGAAACATTTCGCCAAGGTCTTACAACTTCAGCTCGATTTTCAATTCAATATGCGGTTTTATTTTCAGACATGCGGAACATGCCAATGCAAAATTGGTCCCGACGAGAAGCGTTTGAACTACAACGAAAATTACTGGCACGCCGAAGAGAAATGCTTTCAGTAATTATCATCAATACCAACATGTTTCTCTAATCTACTACAATTTTAGATGCGTTCAATGCAATGCCAATCTAATTGGTAAAAAATTTATGCTCAAGTCGAATAAGCTGTTGTGCTCTTCACAATGCAAAGCAAACTACAATAACGAGCATCCGAATGAGCCGCTCTAATCGCGTTAAAAATGTATCATATGCTTAATCAATTCATGCCATTCCTTAGAAGCTTTTCGTGTTTATTTGATTTTGTGCGGGATAGTTTAAGACTAATAAAAAATTATTTAATGTTTTTTTTTCAGAAAAATACAAGCAAAACTCGACTAAAACATGAGGGAAAATGACTTAAAGTGGTTGTAGGAATATAAGGAAGCTAAATGAGATCAAACTACCAAGAACGGAATAATACAAGATCGTATATTATGAAAAATAGCCACATGAGAGCCCGTATAGTGCTAAAAATAACGGGTAAAGCTTCAGAATCGAACAGAAAACAGAAAAAAAAAACAAAACCAAATAAAGGCAACACGTTAATCATCAATTGTGACACACTCCGGAACGATATTCGCTCGCGCCTTGGTTACATCCTCACTATCTGAAAAAAAACGGAATTTCTAAAGGTATATTTCCAGAAATATTAACAGTATATTTCCAGTGATAATAAAATAAAGAGATAATATAACAGAAATGTAGCGTAGAAAAAAATTTGAAATTTCATTTTAATGATGTTAGGCAGATTTTGGGAAGAAAACTAAAAAAAACTACATTTTTGCACAAACTGCGTAAATTATTTAGAGATTTTTGAAAACAAATTATAACACAAAAAATAAACTTACAATATTCATACACGGTGTTTGAAGCATTCAAAATGAAATCAGACACTCTTAAAAAGAGTCCTTCCTGAGGTTTGACGAGAACAACAGGTGTTCCCATTGGCAACGGGTAAAGATATCTACCATCTCCAATCACAGGTAGAATAAAGTCTGAAAAAAAATAATTTGAAACTATTCCGAAGGTACAACAATCGAATACCTCGATCAGTAATGATATCTTGGAAAAATCCAGATTTATTCCAGTGCAGAAGTCCGTGATTCATTGCACCAGGGAAACCACCAACCGAAGTGCCAAACACAACGTGATCCTTACGATTGACTTGAGAGAGCATTTTCGCATACATCGGATGATCAGGTGGTATCGTTGGAACAACACGACAAACGACCAAATCATCCGGAGGATTTCTTTGAGCCATTTCAATTCGCGTTAACAATGACATCATTTGATTGTCGGCAAAAATGAGCTGGCGGTTCAAGTGATGAGGATACATGGCCATCGTACGAGGAGGCATTTGAAAAGCAGGAGGATCATATCTAGGAGTTTCTATGACAGGCTCATATTGACCCATCATTCCGTAAGATGTCGAAACACCGCGATTTTCCATCTCGTAAAGAAGTTCTGCTTCACGCTTCTCTTCTTCGCTCAACACTCGTTCGCTTTCCATTATTAGCGATTCATGGAGGAACGGCTTTTCAGAGAACATTCCACCGTATGATCTTGATATTGTTTTCAATACTTCATCATCGAATTCCCATGATTCTGGATCGAGTTTGGGTGGAGACACATCAAATGATTCCTGAATTATAATCTGTTCAATAAAACCGTAGAATCTTCAGAGTTACATTATAAACAAGAAGATTCTCAAGTTCTTTCTGAGTTATGTTCGCGTCAACTTGAGCTTCGTCAACAACGCGTTCTGGAATTTTTGGAATTTTGAATTGCATTTCTAACTTGAAGGTCGTTAGACTAAAAAAAACGACTCGAAGCAAAATCATACGCTGTAGTCCATGTTTAGAAATCTGACGGTTGAAGATTGCCTTCTCCATTGAATTATCCATAATGAGTCGATAGATAAACGTTCTTCTTGTTTGCCCGTAACTAAACGAATTAGAATGAATTCAATCAAATTCGTTCAAGTTTAATAATATACCGGTAAATACGACAAACAGCTTGAGCATCATGACATGGATTCCAGCAGGCGTCGAGGATGATGCAGCGACTCGCGGAAACCAGATTGATTCCGAGAGATCCGGCACGAGTGGAAATCAAAAATAACCTCAGATTAGGATCGGAATTGAATCTTTTGATCAATTTTTCGCGATCTGATCCAGATGTACTTCCATCAAACCCTTAAAACCAAAACAGGTTTTCAAAAATTAAAAAATGATAATTTTCATACGATAGTAATTTTTGTTTCGCATCCACTCATCCGATAGTCCTTCTTTCGTCACAATTCGCCGTTTAGAAAGAAAATCTTCGAATACATCAAGTGCTGTTAAGTTTTGGCTAAAAAAAAGTAAAAATTAGAAATGGATCAAAAAAGATTTAATACAATTACCTAAAAATCAATATTTTCTCGCCAAGACGCGTGCATTCGTCCAAAATCGCCATTGCAATGACCATTTTAAGACCGTTCTCGAGAACTCCCGAATTATAATGTTCCATCACGTCTTTCGCCCATTCATACGAAATATTTTTTTCGGCTTTCTCGAGCTCATCGAAAATATCGTCACCACTTGCAGCTGATTTCGTATTTGCTCTTGGACGTTTCCTCTTCTTCGTCGGAGATTTTCTTCAACAAACTATTTGCGGTAAACGAATATCACAAGCAAAATTACCCATTGGTGTTTGAAGGTCCTGGGGTGCAGTATCCATTCAAAGACGATGGCGTCTATAAAAATGAACTAAATTTGAAATTGAATTTAAATATTACGTTGAATGGGTCGTTGTAATTGGTTGGATATAGAAAAGGATTTAACTGCATTACAGCTCCATTCTAAATTAGAAAATTTATAGATTTATTTTTAAATTGAAAATACTTCTTCTGTCTTTTCACGCTGCATAAATTTCCACAAAACATCTGGATGATTCCAAATTTTCGAACACGCGGCAAATGCTTTCAACGGATTAAAGAATCCGCTTTTCGTCTTACGCATTTCCATTGTGACAAATAACACAAAATTTCTGAAAATAAATGGCTTAATTATAAAGAATCCAATAGAAATCTGTTCTTACTTGTACAACAGTCTTTGAATATTACTTTTATGAATCATTATAACAAATTCACGGTTCTCAGGCAGAATCGATTTAAGTAAATGATGAGTGCGTCTAAAATTGATTAGTTCGTTTATACAGCATCTAATTCGATTCACCTTTGTACAAATCCCTTAACAAGTTCAATCAATACATGAGTTCGTTGCTGTGCAAATTTTATATCGCCTAAAAAATAATCAGCTCAAACACTCTTCAAATAACGATATTTTTGAAGAAATCTTCTACTTACTTAACGTCGAGTCGGTGCATTGCCCATTTTTAATGGGTTTTTCGAATCGCTCGGAAAATACTTTTTTGTTTCCAAGAATTTTTGGTCTAACAAAATCGATCATACAAAAATATTCCATAAGATTGTTCTGTAGAGGATAACCTGTCAGAACGATACGGCGCCTGAAACATTATTTTATCGAAAAGCGAATGCTAAAATAGAAACCTAGTGCGAATGTTGTTTAAAGCCATTGAAATCTCCGAAGTCAAATTCTTGATTTTGTGTCCTTCATCACATACAACCAATTCTGGTCCAGGATCGAGAAGTGCTTCTTTGATTACTAAAAAATAATAACTCATTTATGTTAAGAATATTTTCTGGTGAATAATTTGTAATTGAATACGAAAAAATACGTTTTCAAACGTGATTACGAATGTTAAAAGTTTGAAAAAAAAAGTTTAAAAGCATCGTCGTATTCAATTATTTTACGATTTGCAGTTACGAATACAATTTTAATTTTCGTATAAAACCACAAACCATATACCAGATAATAAAAAAAATACTTGAATGTGCCTCAACAACAGCTCGCCCGTTATTTGTGAATCCGGCATCGAAGTCCATTTCATCTTCTCTTGATTCCTCGCGGATTGCTGAATTGATTGCAGAAACACCGTTCAAATTAAGTTTCGGTCGCTTCTTTCGTTCTTTAGGTGGCATGGTTGACTTGAGTAGAAGGCGAAACAAATCGTAACCCATAAGAAGAACGCCTCCTTTGGAATGCCATTCCTCTGAAAACGAGACAAATCTATTATCAAATACTCGAATTTATTCAATAAGAAAATATACTTCAACGAGTCAAAATTATGTTTCGAAATTTAATTTGTACCCAATATATGAAATATACAGTGCGTTTCACATTTATAAAGCCACCCCTGATTTTGAGCGTAACTTTGTCAATTGTGAAAATTTTTTAATTCTGTTTCCAAAATTGAATTCAGGGTTAAAAAATACATATGTTCACCAATTTTCATAATGATATCTGAAAAATTGGCCGAGTGGCATTGAAAACACTGAAAATTGGTCACATGCAACCGTTTCACATTTATAAAGCCACCCTAGTGAAAGGTCTGAAAATGTGGAGACCTGAAGAAGAATGAGCAGTGTAGTTATAAATAGAGTACTGTCAGATATTTTTCTTTTTTTTCCGCGTATTTTAACCAACATTTGGACATGTCCCGGGGATTTTTGCTCACCGATGCCGAAAAGGTTACCATAGATTCCTTAAAATTCGCTGGATGGTCGAACCGAAGGATTTCTTCGCACTTGAAGCGGTCGAAAACTTGCATTATTAATTTTGGCAACAAGATCGACAAAAACCAGCACCCAAAAAATCCCGGATCGAAGGCGAAACTGAATTCCCGAGACCGAAGATCGATCATCCGAGTAGCATCCAACACGATGAAGTCATGCAACGACATCAAAAACGAGCGGAATCTTGATGTTAGTAAAACGACGACTTGGAGGACACTTAATGATGATCCCAACATCATCCGGGCAGTTACGCGTCCAGCTCCGAGCTTCCAGGACCATCACAAGTTGCGTCGTCTCGAATTGCTCGAGACAACATGGCCATTGATTGGACAAAGGTAACTTTTTAACCAAATTTTTCTTAAAAAACAATAAGATTATCATTAGATCATTTTCTCGGAAGAGAAAAAGTTCAACCTAGATGGTCCCGATGGAAATTAGTGTTATTGGCACGATTTACGGAAGGACAACCTAATTTTTTCAAAGCAGAACTTTGGTGGCAAGAATCTCATGGTATGAAGAGCATTCTCTTTGGCGGGATTTCTCAAGCTGGCGTTTGTCAACTGTTGGATAAACTCGCTGGACTATCAGCGAGGGTTAGAGGACCATCTATTACCATTTCGATGACGATTTCGGCAAAGAAAGTTCGTATTTCAACAGGCAATGCCTCAATTCATGCGAGTCGATCCATTTTGGATTGGCTCATCAAAGAAAATATCGACGTTTTGAGGTGGCCAGCGTCCTCACCAGACTTAAATTCGATGGAGAATGGTTTAGGAAAGCTGGTTCGCTGCTTTTATCGTCATGGCAAGCAATATCGACCCATTGATGAATTGAAAACGGCGATTACCGACGAGTGGGATCTATTGGACCAGAAACTCAACACCAAGACCACCCAAAATATGGAAAACCTGGTCCAATCGATGCCAAATCGTATTTACGACCTTATTTCTTTAAAAGACACCGCAACTAAATATTTATCTGGTTTTATAATAGAGTTTTTACTGTGTTCACTAGTGTGGCTTTATAAATGTGAAACGGTTGCAAGTGACCAATTTTCAGTGTTTTCAATGCCACTCGGTCAATTTTTCAGATATCATTATGAAAATTGGTGAACATATGTATTTTTTAGCCCTGAATTCAATTTTGAAAACAGAATTTAAAAATTTTCACAATTGACAAAGTTACTCCCAAAAACAGGGGTGGCTTTATAAATGTGAAACGCACTGTATACATATTCGACATGCTATGTACATATGTTGAATATATTTTTAAAAAAATTCTACCTATCATATTAACCCTTTGATCGAAGGTTTTGACAGCATCACCAAGAAGAAATATATCAAACGTTCTTAGAATATCCCCATTATCGGAAAATCTAAAAAGAAATATTTAATTTTAAAAACTTCGACAAAATATCTCACTTTGGAAGCCATCTTTCAAACTCAGCAAACCAATTTTGAATGACATTGATTGGCATCAGAATGAGAACTTTTCGCGAGCTCGTGGTTCGAAGAAAAATTTCAGTTAATGTGATAACTTGAATTGTCTTTCCAAGACCCATGGAATGCGCCAATATACAACCAAATCCTGGACTTTGATTGAATGTAGACAAAGACTCAACAACATTATCATACCTGAACAAATTATGAATAAATGAGTTTTTACAAGAATTAAGAAAAAAAAAACAAATTTTTATAACTCACATAAAGCGAATTCCGCCTAATTGATGAGGCTGTAATACATGTGTCAGATGGGTTGCCACGAAGACATCTGCATCTTCTGGGGGATGACCTGTAATCAATATTTTAAAATAGTCAACTTTAAATGAAAATCTTGCCAGCATTTACGAGAAGTCTTCCACCAAGTTTTTCTGTGCTTTCGAGGTCTTTTTCATTTCTAACTTTCAGTCTTCGCGATTTCTCGAAATCCAATTGTACCTTCATTTGAGCTTCGTCGTCTCTATCCCTCTCGGTTGGAATTGCATATCGTCTTCGAGCTAAATAAACCAAAAATTATTCTAGACACAAAGAAATCTAACTTATTCCGTATCCTCGTATATTATTATTTACGGGAATTGCAACAGGCTCTTCTTCATCATCAGATGACAGCGTAATCACCTCATGGGGAGGCTCATTTGAACTCGATGCTGATTTGACGTACATATCGAACATATCGTTCTTCTCTTGTTCCACTGGAATCACTCTAGAAATCTCGTTAACATTTCCATAATTGTGCATATGTGATGGTCCAGGAATTGATTGCGGAACTGTTAATAGTCGTTCCATCTCTGTGATGTGATCATTTTCGCGTTGCTAAAAGCTTTGGGATACAAATTATATAACAATCAAATCAAATATAAACTAACAGTGCTTCGAATTTTTTCCAAGCGTTCCAAACGTTCTTTTTCAAGTCGTTGAGCATGTAAAATCGATTCGTCTAGCCCATTATCGTCGAATTCAATTCTAAAATTGACATTTGATTTATTTTTTTTTAATTTTCAAATAACCTAATCTGTTTTCTTTTTTGCGATTTTTGTAGGTTGGTCGGAATTCGAACATTAAGCAGCGTTTCATCGGGTTCAGGTGATTGTGTTGCCGACTTTGAATCGTCGGCACCTGACATGTTTGAAACCCTTTTTGACCTGTAATCGAGATTGAACAAGAAAAATGAGATAAGTGAGAGAGCGAATATTCGAGAACTGTGCGGCGTATTTCAACATATGCTTTGAGAAACGTGCCAAAAAATAAACCTGCAGTTTGATCACATATTGAGCTGAAAGAAAAGCGAACACACTCGACAGCCAGTCGGTTGATTGAGGCACTGTGCAACCGGTTGAGACGGTTATACGAAAAAGATTTCGTTGGAGCACATTTGAGTGTGGAGAGTTTGAAATTTCGAGAACTGAAGGAATTAATTTTTAACAATTAATATAGAGACGTGCCGTATTTAAGCATACAAGAGTTTTATTTTGAAAAATCAAAAATAAAGAAGAGTAGTTTAATAATAATAATAATAATAAAATGAATTAGTCACGAATAATTAAGAAATTTAATTTGTCGAATTAATTCAATTATCATCAATAAGTTAATATGACGAAAATAACTAAAATGTAATTGTTTTCATTTTTCGAATATCATCAGATAATTCTAATTCTTTCTAATTTCAGCAAACTCATAAAACTATGAATATGGCAAAGATTAGTAATGAATATATTCATGAAATGTATTTTTTTTTTTTACAAAAATTAAAAAGTTATAGTAAATTTGAATTTTTAAAACTCTGGTAACTCAAAACCAATCGGATCCGACAAAATTCGACTCCGGAATCAACCTTATCCGATTGGTAATTCTACGAATAAAATTGGAAAATTGTCGTATCCGATTGGTTTTTTGGGTTTTTTCGGATCCGATTGGTAATTTTTCGTATCCGATTAGATTTTCTTCGAATCCGATTGGTAATTATTTGAATCCGTTTTGTTTTAATATTTCAATTCGAATCGGATTCGACAAATATCCAACCTTATCCGTAGAATTACCAATCGGATCTGACAAATTACCAATCGGATCCGAAAAAACCCAAAAAACCAATCGGATACGACAATTTTACAATCTTATCCGTAGAATTTCCAATCGGATAAGGTTGATTCCGGGGCCGAATTTTGTCGGATCCGATTGGTTTTGAGTTACCAGAGAAGATTTTTATTTCATGAAAGGACCGATAAATGTTTAAATTAATATTCATATTATTTATAACCTATACTTGCGCAATTTTACTAAAGACACATTCACCGACAAAAAAAACAATCATACCCGGTAATTTCACGAAAAAAACTTATGGCATATTCCGGAAAAAATCCGAAGATATTTAAAATGAATTTTTTTCTCGTTAAAATTGAAAAAAAAACCAAAAAGGTCCCCTTCTCCCTAAATCTTTCTGATAAAGCAAACTTTGTCAAAATCTCAAGAAACCCTATGCTGATTACGCGAAAAACTAGTTTGTTGATTTTTTTGAGCTTTTTTCCTAAAAACTGCGTGTTTCCAATTGAAGCAATTTAATTAAGATGTTTGATGGTATCCAATATCTTGAAAGACAAACGTAAATGCAACGCTTACAAATCTATTCAATTCGAATTCATTTTCTTTTTTTCATTTTCCCAAATATTTGTTCATACAAGAAAATCACTGCAATAATCATATGTAGTAAACTTTAGTATCTCCATAAAATTCACATTTTTTTAAAATAAAAAATTACCTAGGCTCCAATTGTCACCTTTACTTTTTATTTACTTATTTGGTAAAATCTGGTTAAAATCTAGAAAAAAAATATAAACATTTATTATGAAATTTTGGGATTAATTAATAATTTCACGAAAATATAGAAAAAAACGCTTTTTTTGATTTTAACTTTAAAACTCAACTAAAAATTGTTGATATTCTAGACAATAATTTGTTCTTTCCAAAAAATTCATTTCAGATATTAAAGAAAGTTGTACGTATTCGCAACCTCGTTTCTCCATTTTCAGAAAATTTCGATGAAATTCAGGTGAGCGAAATGAATTTTGAGAAGCCAGTGTCAGCCTTCATATATTGCCACTCTTGTTAAAAGCATTCATTTTGAGAAATGATTGTTTGAGAGAATCTCCGTTTCATAATATTGACGAAAATCGAACGGATGCGCTGTCCATTAAATTTTCTCGAATTTCGCGGAGCTCATAAATCTTCGTCGTCGTTTCTATTGGTGAATCCGTAATAAGTATATACACCCATTCAGTTTTTTTGAGTTCTCGATTCATTCTCAACACTTGTTCGTTTCGAATAAACAATTCAATTGTTTATTATTATTATTATTAGGAAAGAGCATCACAGACAGATTTTTTTCTGTTTTTTTTGTTTCATTCGTCAATAAAATTCATTATTATTTCAACGCATTCATCCGGCAAAATTCAGGTTGCTATTTCGCATTTCAATGAATATTCCAGAGCGATTCAAATGGGTTTGTTTTCAATTTTTTTTTCAAATTTTTCTTGAATTTTTGTAAATTTAGAAAAAGATGTGTGAAATACATATAGTATAAAGTTTAATCAGGGATGTTCAAAATGAATGCAAAATGACAATAAATTATCGAAACATGCATTTTTCTATATAAAACCGTAATAATGTTTTCATCAACTCGGTAAATTTCCATTCAAAACGAATACGACTACATTCGAAACGTATTCCAAAGACAAATCGAATACGATAATTTCACAACCCAATACGACAAAGAAAAAAATTTGAAACTAATTAGGTCACTTTCGAAGCCGAAATTTGTCGTATTCAGCTTCAAATTCGATTCGAAATGAATTACCAGAGAAGTCGTGCAGATTTTGTGTCGAATTTGAGGTTCTCTGCGAGACCTTCAGCGGAGTTTGTGCAGTTTCTTACTTCTAGTTAGCTTCTTTACTTTCTAGGCTGCTGAAATTCTCGCAAACTGAACACGACTTTCCTTAGAATGTGGAAGAACATCATTAAAAATTCGCAATGAGATGATCGAATTTTGATCCTCTGCTACCTCGGATTCTCTTGTTCCAAGTAGAAAAAATTATTTTCCAGCTTCTGCAAGAGCGCAAAGGTATTCTTAGAGTCATTTTCTTTCGTTTACTGACTCAGCTACCAGAAATGTATTTTTTTCAGTGAATTTCAGATTTTTTGACACTTCTGACTTATTGACAATACGCACAAAAATAAACACGGAAAGGATCTTGCAGAACTTGGTCTCATAGTTTCCAAAAATTCAAAAGATTTTCGAAAACATTCAAAAATGTGTTCACACTCTTACTGTAATCAGCTTACGGTAGAGAAGAAAACTGTGTTTCGATAATTAATTGACAATCTGTTTTTTTGCTAACGAGATACTTAAAACTAAAAAAAAACTATTAGTCTTATTCTAAATACTAGTATTCACGGAGAGATTTTTGGAATGTTGACTGCTATTAGCTGTCAAACAACGAAAAGAATAAAACAGCGGAAGTTGAAGGCATAAAAGCCTGCAGAATACATCAAAAGAAGTATCCAACTAGTGAAAAAAACTGCGAATTTTCATTCGCACTCACCTGCTAGTCATTCATATTTAACGAATTTTCGCTGCTTTTCTGATCTCGATATTATACGTGTAAATGTTTCTCGTCGATTGTCTCAAAGTATCCCTAGCAGGGGAAAAGGTTTCAATCAAATCAACGCATTAACAGATGTCCTAACATTTTCTTTAAGGTTTCCACATTATTTGTGCACTTTTCGCTAATTGTCGGAGTTGCAGCTTATACGGTGTTTGGAGCACTGTCGATGCAATTCCTTGAATCGCCGGATCGAGTGTTCGATTTCAATTTACCAATTCGAATCATTTGAACGAACGATTTCAGACGATCTCAAATCAAACGCTCGATATCAAATGATGAGTCGATAACGAAACTATCTGAGCGATCATCTCAAGTATTTCTCGGCGAGGAACTTTCACAAATCGATCCCGAAATTCATAAATGTGTCGAATCGACGATTCTCGCACTCTTCGGACGCACCAATTGTGATTCTTATGAGCTCGAGCATCTCAACATCGACATAATTGATCGTTGTTACATGGAAGTCAACCTGGCAGGTTTTCGACAAAGTGATGCATGATTATATTGCATTCGAGCAATTCATTTCTGATTTCAGTTGCTACCAAAAAGCAAACTAAAAAAATCGAGGAAAAATTGAATAACGAAACTGAAATTTTGCCCGCAGAAAAGTGGTCAATGGGAAATTCGGTGATCTTCGCATTTACCGTAATCACAACAATCGGCTATGGGCACATTGCTCCGGAAACGTTCGAAGGCCGCTTATTTTGCATACTGTATGGTGTAATTGGTGTTCCGTTCACCCTTCTTACAATTGCCGATCTTGGAATGTTCTTTACGCACGCGTTAAGAGCAGTATTGAAGTTCGTTCGAAATGGAATTTATAAAATTCGAAAATGTTTGGCAAAAAGGGAAAAAAAGGTGAGTAATTAAAATTTGGACGAATCGAAAAATGTTCAAATTTCAGATTATTCAGAGCTCAAGGAAACCAGATGTTTGGGTAACTGGAAAAGGAGAAAATATGGAAACAGCTCGTGAACCTGGCGAAGATGAAGTCGTCGAGGAAAAGCAAGGAGAGGAAGAGGAGGAAGAGGAGGAGGAAGAAAAGGAAAAAGAAGAACCAAGGTTATCGATTTCGAAATTATTTGAAAATGTTCAATTAAACGTGCCTCGATTTTCAGGAAAACTGAGGAATCTGTGATTCTCGGAATAACATTTGCCTGTTATCTTCTGGCCGGTGCCAAGATTCTTTCCGTGTACGAACCCGAAATGGATTTCTTCAAAGCACTTTATTTCAATTTTGTCACATTGACAACCATCGGCCTTGGTGATTTCGTTCCAAAAAGCTTCGACTACCTCTTCGTGACTCTCGTCTACATCGGAATCGGACTTGCATTGACAACGATGGCAATTGAGATTGCCGCTGATTTGCTCAAACAAATCCATTATGCCGGAAGAAAAATGGAAGATGCTGCGAATGCAGTGGTGTGGTTTGGCGGCAAAAAGTAAGAATCATATGTAAAAAAAAATAATTTATGGAATTTATTTAAGGATGAAAATGAAAAATTTGGTGCAATATTTGGGCGATCAATTTAATATACCGAAAGAAGAACTCGCCAATTTCGATGTTACTCAATTCGTCGATAATGCAATGAAAGTGGAAAAAGGAGAAATCGCAACATTGCGGGTAAAAACAACTTTTTTTTAACTGCTAAAACCCGTCTTTGACTTGATATTGGCTGGCGTACTGGCTATCTATTCATGGCAGCGATGTTTGAATCCTTAGCGATTCACAATACACATTTAATCAATTTAGATATTTATATTAAAGAAAACCGTTGTTTTTTTTTTCAGAAGCCGCCGACTCCAGTTGTATTCCGAGATCGCGCATTCAGTTACAGTAATCTTCGGAAATCCAGCGAATTGCAATATGTTGATGATAGTCGTGTTAGTAAAATCACCGGTGAGAATTTGGACGGTTAAGTGAAGAGATCGAACAATCAAATCACAGATCTGACAACCGTTCAAGAGACTTCTCGGACCATCGACACGTTGACAGCTTTGGTGATCGGCAATCGCGGCGCCGCGGGAATCCCGCCTTTGGATCTCGACAATCATTACTTTGATGAGATGTCCCCACGAAGCTCATTCGATGAACAATATATGAGAAGTCGAAGAAAACATCAAAGATCATAATTGTTTCATTGGGAATAATAAATAGTGGCTGATTTGGATTAATAGCCTGGCGCAGTGCGCGGCGTTGGACAGTGCGAGCATCCACCTGATCTTCCAACATCACCTGGTCTGCCGACCTCTCCATCGGCTCCCGGTGATCCAGGGAGTCCGCTCTCTCCACAATCTCCTGGTGCTCCAGGCGATCCTTTTCTTCCAGGAAGACCGTCACGTCCTGGAGCTCCCGGGTTTCCTGGGGGTCCTTGTGGTCCAGGTGGCCCTGGAGGTCCAGCTGGTCCGGGGATCTCGTGAATTTGTCCCGGCGCACCGTCGTTTCCTGGCTGTCCGGGTTGTCCGTCTTCTCCGTCGCTTCCGCGGGGACCTTGACGTCCGGGTGGTCCGCAGCGTCCATTTCTTCCCGGCGTTCCGTCGAGTCCTGGACGTCCTGGAACTCCAGGAATTCCGGGATTACCAGATGGCCCTGGTGGTCCAGGTGGGCAGTTGAATACAAATTCATCTTCCAAATTATCGTATCCCGAAGAGGATGAGTCGCTTCCGCTCGCCCCTGGTCTTCCTGGATTTCCGTCTCTTCCGTCTCTTCCTGGAAGTCCTGGAGGTCCTGGAGGACCAGTAAGTCCAACACCGCAGCTGCAGCACTCAGATGATGTCGGCTCAGGATCAAGATCATAGGTATTCGGAACGCTTGCCGGGCTTCCAATAGAGCGATCTCGGTATGCTGAAACAGAGGCATTAATCATTCAAAGACTCATTTCATTTTACCACCGTATCCGCCGCTTCTCTTCTCGAGTCGTCGCTCAGAGGATTTTTCGTAGAGTTTCTCAAGATTTTTGGCTCCGTCCATACAGAAATCAACCTTCAAAATTATCGAATTTTTCAAGTAGAACGAGAAACAAAATGAATTACGTCACTTTGAACCGAACTTTGGATATATTGAAGGTATGTGTAAAGACCGGGAATGAGAATCACACACATTGCACCAGCCATAGCACTGAACGAATTGAAGTGAGATTCACGAAATGAGACTGGAAATACCTGACGACGATCGCGACAAAAGCCACCCGGCGAAGTTGGTCCTCCTCACAACGCTTGATCATCGCAAACACTTTGGCAATAATCGGCAATCCTCGACTTTTATAAGAAGCCCACTGGCAACGACATTTTGCATCCTGACAAAAAACGCAAATGATAAGGAAATAGTTACACCGTCCGCTTAATTGATGACATTTGATTTTATTGTAAAAATCTTCTTCGCCGATTGCCGAGCAATCGTTCAATCAAACTAATCGCATAATACATATAATTAACGAGTACAATAAATAATAAAACTGGAGAAAATTAAGGAGGCGACTGGATGAAATATCGCTGAAACAAAGTGAAAGTCTACGAGAGAAACTTGTCAATTTTATTTTCAAAGTGGTTCAACTCGTCGTTCGTTTCGTCTTGTTCTGAAAGGTGTGTGTTTGTCTGAAATATTGAACGACTTACGCGTTAGCAGTTCGATTTGCTTGTATTGTCGACGAATCTTCGCTTTCAACGCACAGTTCTCATCGCGAAGGCTTTCAATTTCAAAGTTCATATTCCTCTGCTGACTCTCGAAACTGTCGCCCAATGTTTCCTGCACCAATATAATTATTGCCAATTCGATTCAAATCTCACCTGGCTTTTGATGTTCTCTTCTAATTGACTGATAATTGCTCGACATCTGTCCAACTCTGATTGCGTTCTCGCCAATTCGGCGCTCAATTCGGTTTTCGCATTCTCGATTGTGGCAATTCTACTGAATTTGAGCTCCGTCTCTTTCTCCGAAGCTTCGGCTCTTTCCAACGCTCTCCTCCTGATGTCAATTTCAAATTTTTGCGTTTTTCGAGTCGATCAAACCGTTCTGCTAATATTTCATCCTTGCTTTCTCGAATACTATTCTCATGTTTCCTTTTCCATTCGTCGCAATCTGCTATTGCTTTCTTTAAGCGAAGAGCCAAACTATCTGCGTTCTTCTAAACTTTTTTCCAACATATCACTACACTTTAAACTGTTTGAAAACCTCTGCTGAATTGAACTGCCTCGTGACTTCTTGAATCTGTGTCGCCTGCTTTCGAACTGTTTGTTGTAATGATTCTTTTTCAGATTCAACAGCTGATAACTGCGATTTGTACACATCGAGCTCTCGCTTAACTAATTGTAGATCCGTGTTAATTGCAGCCTTTTCTCTGAAAAAAAAAAAACATTTATAAACAAATATTCAAATAACAATAAATGGAACCTTTCAAGTTCCATTATCCTTCGCTCCTTTTCCATGACTTGTGATGTCGAAGGTGATCGTTGAAGACTCGGTGGAGATGTGACACTCTGCGACATACTGTCGTATAACGAATCCCTTCTTCTCAAAGAATACATCGACGCCGACATATCAGATTCGGAATCTTTCCTTCGTAATCCAATAGTCCGAATTGATGAAAATGAGCCAATCGATGTTAATGAATATTGTCTTCCAATATTGCTGAGTCTTCCTGAACTTGACCTTCCATAATCGGAATCAACTGATGATTCTCTTTGGAACTGCTCAATTTGGCTCTTTTGGCTCGTGTTCTCATTTTCCAGCTTCGAATTCTTCCTCTTGACCTCTTCGACTTTCTGTTCGAGTTCTTTGACACGTTCTTTGTGTGTTGTCTTCAATTCCTTCACACAATCAGCCATCATCGCCTCCTTATCTTCCAACTTTTTTTCCAGTTTCGATATGATATTCGCGCGGTTTCGGCACTCGTCTTTCTAGAATTTTGTAAGAATTACGTCGGAACCACCATCAATCAACACAATATTACAAGATCGTCAATCTTTTTCGCCTGCTTCTGAATGACGTCTTTCGCAGCGTTCAGTTCATCGTTCAGTCTCTCTTTTTCGCGTTCGATTTTTCTCGTCGCATTCTTCTCACCCAGCGCGACACCGTCGAGACGAGCGATTTTATCCTAAAATCCAAAAATGGCTGAGCACAGTATGATGAATATGTACATTGAGTTCTGTGACCAGCTTCTGGAGATCACCGATGTTTCCATTCAGACGCACCATTCGAGCTTTCTCATCTTCAAGTGAATTTTCAAGTCTGAAGAATTGAAATTGTATGAAAAATGAGTGAGAAACAATTCTTGACAGTGAAAAGAGGATTAAAAAAAAGAAATTTTTTACTTACTTGGCAATTGTCAATTTTTGCTCATTGTTTTCTTGCAAAAGTCGCTGAACTTGAGCCTGAAGACTGTCGACGTTTGACGTCTTCTCAGCTAATTCCTTATGCAATTCATCGTGCATACTCGAATTGCGATTCGCCAATTCTTTCAGCTAAAATTACAAACATTATAATATTTGTTTTCAATTTCAAACTCGCCTTGATATTTTCCGCTTCAATATCATTATTAGTCATAGTTAATTGCTCAATTTTCCGCTCATAATCACGCAACACATCGTTCATTTTCTTAAATGAGTTTCTGCTATAATTATGTAATAAAAATAATAAATTTTTACCATCACTTTCTTTCGTTGCTCGTCATATTTCTTTTCCAAAACATTAAAAATCTCTTCATTCTGTTCCATGTCTTCCAGTGTTTTTCGGAATTCGCGTTCTTTTTCGGCAATTTTCTAAATGGACCATTTGATTTTTTTCGAAAAAAAAAACAAAAATAAATGAACCTTTCGACTTTCTATTTCAATTTCTTGAACTTTCGCACTAATTCGATCTTTCTCTTTCTTTTCAGCATCAAGTTGCTTAAAATCGTTTTGATATTTTCTTGCATAAGGATTTTAAAAAAAGCGCCAACCGCGAACAATTTCGAGTTCTCTTTCACCCGTTGTTCATATTGCTCATTGAGCACTTCAATCTCGCTTAACAATTTCTTTTTCTCTCCTTCAAGTTCTTCGATTCTTTTCTTTTCTCTATTCTGAAATTATTATTTTTTTCAGTATTCAAATCGATAAAGGTTTCGAACCCTTGGAATTAATCCTCTTGATAGTGTGTAGATGCGATACCATGGCCATTGTGATAATTCGGCGAATTGTCTCACATTCTGCTGAATTGTCGAAATCGCATTCCTAAAATCTTCTCGATATTTGAATCAATCAATTCAATTCTCTCACATTTTCATTCTTCTTTCAATGCAATCTTTTTGAGCATTATTATATCGAACAATTGCTTGAATTTGGATGACAAATCCAGATATATAATTGTTTCTTTGTTTTTCGAGCTGAAAAAAAATGAGAGATATTTCAAAATTCAGCTAAACACCGAATTTACTTCTGAAATAACTCCGACTTTGGCGAAAAATTTCGATTTTCCAATCGCGAATCTTTCTCGCTTCATTCCAACATCGGCGCAAATCTTTGAGCACAATTCCTTTTCCGAAAATGATTTGACACCTTCCTTGTCTTTCAGCAACAATTTGTATCGTTCGACGAACTCGGAATGCGGCATTCTCGATGGATATCCTTCTCGACAAATGCGGATTCCTTCTAGAACACCGTTGCATTTGAGTTGCGACAAAACCAGACGAGCATCGATTTTTGCCGGCATTTTCTCGTAGTTTGGAACCACACATCGAATGAAATGAGCACACGAATTGTTGAGAGTTTCGAGTAGATTTTGAAGTTGATTTTTGTACAAAAATGACACTGTCGAATTCGTAATTGTGCCCCGTCGATTGCGAACATTCGCAGTTGCCGATCCAGATGGGAAAAGAATTTTCAGGAGTGGCTGAGTGGACTGCGAGAGAATCTCAAGCACCGAATTCTCAACGTTGTCTCGATTTTTGTCAAGCCATCCATCGATATTATAATCAACTTCTCCAGCATAATGACGAATTGAAAAATGGCGAATTGTCGAACATCTCAAATTATTTAAAATTATTAAAAAAAAAACAAAAAAAAACAAAACCGTTGAGTTTGTTTCGCTTTTTTGAATGAGTCGTTTTTCTCTAAATTTTGGCATAATTTATCCAAAAGAGATTTCTCCGATCCATTCGGGACCACACATTCCTCTTCCAATAGTGACAGAATTCCCATTGGTTTTTCAATAAGATCGATTGTTGGTTGAAGATGATTCGCGAAATTCACTTGATTCCATTTGATCCCTTCATCAAGATAATCACTTTGCTCCTGAAATTCCGATTAATTATTCACCAATCCCAAAATGCAACTCTCAAATGCCTTAACAAACATGAAGTGATTGAAAAATTGCTGAAGCTTCTCATTTGTATAATTAATACAAAACTGTTCGAATGAATTTTTGTCGACAATCTCAAATCCGGCGATATCCAAAACAGCAATAAATCGAGTTGTCAAATAGTCTGAAAAAAGATACAAAAATTCGAATTGGTCACTCAAAAAAAAAACTTTTTCCGGTGTCTTCCACCGAAAACGCGTCGTTGCATTTCTGGACGACCCACGAAAATAAGCGCTCATATAGAACTTTTGCCATTGCAGAAGCTGAGTTGAGTGTCTGAATATTTCATTGTGTTACAATAAATAGTCTAGCAGCGAATTTTTTTTTAATTGTTTAAATTTGTTTGTTTATGGACAAAAAAATTGAAAAGAATTTAAAATTCTGCATAAAAATTTTCTCAATCTTTTTTTTTGGAAACTTTTCTCCAAAGAAGTGTGGTCTGCAAAACCATCCAAATTATTTTTTTCTATAAAATATTGAGAGTATTCAATTTAAACTGGCCAAATTTGGAAAATATTGCGCACATTTTCGAATCAACAAAAAAAAGCAAATTTAAGAACCTTTGCCAAATTCTGATTCTTTCGAATCAACTTGTCGTGAACTCGAATTGTCGGCTGTGTCAATGCATCCACCAATTTCGAGCTTTTCAATTCCAACAATTCGGCGATATTGTTAACTTCTGCAAGATCCACCCCTCAAGCTTTATCTTTTATCTTGTGAATGTGTTCGACGGGAAAAAAAATCACGAGCAACCGCATCGCAGGGTGTAATACGACGTTCGGTCATCAATTAAACTCAAGCGTAGGGCAAACGAAACACGAAAAATTCGTGATGAGCTTGACACATGACGGACGTCGCCGCGAATACTTTCTTTTCTTTTTTTTTTGCTCCTACGGGAACATGTAGCAATATTGAGGTGAAATGAGCTATGAGGGGCCGAATTTGGACAAATCAAATACCTTGCATGCTCTCGACAAAAGACAAATCCATTCCACTTCGTTCACCAAATTTTATATCACCGATCCAGATAATTGCAGACAACACCTGGAACATCCAGATTTTCTCCTCCTCGCTGAACCCAATTTTATTAAAAGCGTCCTGAAAACAAAAATCGAAAAAATCGGCAATCAAAATTTGGGAAAAAATTACGAGGGTTTGTCGAGCAGCTTCAACATCATCGATTGAGGAATCAGTTGGTTTGAGGTACTTGAATTGATCGGCAGGCTTTGTGAGTTTCAAGAATTGTTTGTGAGGAGCATCGAAATAATCGGATAGCATTTGATAGAAAATATGAAAGTTGCGATCTCCTTCTGAATGGCTGACGACTCGAGATTTCTCAAGAAGGTCTGAAAGTGTTTCGAATCGTTTCAAAATTGACGAAAACTAGGTACAGCATTCAATTTTGCCGCCGATTAGCTTCGAGTCTTCATCGAATTCGATGCGAATAAACTTTCCCTGAACACAAAACTCAAAAAAAATTCCAAACAAAAGTGCATCAAACAAATCTGGAGCTGTTATTATTGTGCACAGTTTTCGCATTTCCTAGAGCTTCTAAAATCACGCCACTCGTCACTACATGTTCACCTGAAACTCGTATAATTTTCAAATCTCTAAAAATTCATCTTTTCAACTACCAATAGTATTATTCGATCCACTTGATTTTAATATGAAATCGATGATTTTCTTCGTGTTTTCGGTTTTTCCTGCACCGGATTCTCCTCTGCAAATAATCGATTGAACGAAATTGTTCGATTGTGGATCAGAGACGTTATCAGAATCGATTGATTCCTTCCTCCTTTCAGTATTCCATGCAATGTATTCTGTGCTACCGTATACACGTGCGGCGGCATTTCGCAGCAATTTTGATAGAGACTTTTGATTTCGTCGCTATAAATCGGAATATTCTTCCAAGGATTGATAACGACACAAAACAAGCCGCAATAGGTCTAAATAATCGAGAATTGACTTTTATTTGATTCTTCAGTATACATGTATGACATTGTTCGTATACCGTAGATTGAGGGCGTGGAGTACTGTAGCTGCATTCGGCTGAGTCAACGTGCATAAGTCATCCGAGTAATTGTTGAGACTCGGCACTTGGCAATCCTTTTTATCGATTCGTTTCTGCAATCGTCTGTCATGTTTCATGCATCAAACGAGCGTGGGAGCAAGTTGGAATGAATGGAGATGTTTCGTCAGTCAGCTGTTTGGCATCAAGCCAATTCCTCATTGTTGACCTCTCCAACGAATAATGCCACGAAAAAAAATGCGACAATCGAGACGAGCGGCTCTCAGCTTCTCGTCCATCACGACAACATCGAACGCGAACATTACGAAATTTGAGCTCACCTTTTCGAAAAACCCTTGGTCATCGCGAAACCCGACGAGAACGTCTGAGAGGCCCTCATCGATGACGGTGACCAGTCGATAACCGAGCATCTCATCAGGAATCCATATTTGATTATTGATATCATCGATGCGTTCCTCGCACTTTTTCAATGTCAAATGTCTGCAAACATCTAATGAACGAAACGTTTCCAACGAGCATTTTATTGCCGATCAAATGCATAATAAATCCCTCAAAAAAAGTGTGTCTGTGTGTTTTTTTGAGAAATTAAATAAATGAAGAAACAGTGAGTACTGAATGAGTTGAAGTGGTCCAAATATTGATAGCCCACGTGAATAAAAATGAAGTTCTCAAAAATTAAAAAATTTTTAAATTTTTTTCTCAAAAGCTCTGCATATCTCAAGGAATATTTTAGGAAAAAATAAAACGGCATTCTACTGGTTTTTTTTAAACAGCAGGATTTGAGAATAGACTCTTTCAATCCAGCTCTTCAGACAATACAGTATACCGGAAGGTTGGAAATGGGAAATGAGATTTTTTTGAGATTAAGACGAACTAACCTGGCAACATTTGGATCAAGATTATCCATTTCTGTGATAAATCGGATAGGGGGTCGCCGTTGGCGTCGAGTTTAGAAGCTGCAAAAAATCAGGGGCGTTGCGGACACGGATTACTAATGAAAAATGCACTCTTTTTCTATCCGATCCTCTCGTCAAATTACACATAGCAAAATATTTCTATGAGTGAAAAAAACCCGAGAAGAAATTGAGAGAAAAACAGATGGTTGGCGAGGGTAGGGCGACAACGGGAAGGCAATTGAACCGGGAGGGAGAGGCGAAATCGGAATGGTCCCTTCCTTCTCCCCCAGCGTTTGTTTCGATGTTTTCAATTCTCATTCCGAAACACACTATTCGCTTCGTGCTCATCAATCATTTATGTGATAATTAGCCAACAAAAATTGGGCGGAGCTGTGTTGAAATCCCCGACAATTGCCAAACAATAATATTTTCGCTATTTTCAGATCATTTGTGTCTCATGATTAAAAACAATCGTTGGACAAATAGTCTGAAAATCTAGCAAACAAAAACGAGCAAAAAAAGAACTATCAGAGGTTTTCATGAAATGTGATATAGTAAAGAATTCATTTTTATTTTATGGACCACACTGAGAATTGAGTCCAGCACAAATGGCTTTATTGATTTGTGGGACCAGCGAAGGAAGACTGTTATAGTCGTTGGCGAAAAATGCGAATCCTTGGGCATATGCCAGTTTCGACAAGGCAGTTTGATTCACATTTCCAACACCAATTATGATTATCTGAAATGCATTGGAATGTCTTGAAATATGAATGACAGTTTGATGTACTTTCGTATCCATTTCGGTTCTTGTTTTGTGGGCAAACTCGAACGCCTCGTTATAATCTTGTTGGTTGCTGAAGCGATTGATCAATTCTCATTGGCAAGTCATTCTTACTTGGCATCTCCGGCAACGAATACGATAGCAACTTGCTCAATTCCGTATCTTTCATCGAGCTCCTTCTCACCAAAGGTACCCATTCCATCGTACGTGTAGCGCATCAAACTGAATACAATAATCTCGAATATTCACACAAATTATGTAAGAGACCATTCGAGATCCTGATGAGAATCGTCATTCACATTTGGCACATATTTGGACATTCCCAAGATCTCCGAGGTCACCTTCGCATTTGTCGGGACCATATCGGCTGACCAGACAATCGCGTAGTCAATGTCAGTCTGAATGTGTGGTTTGCATGATTTTCAGCCGATCGATTCACCTGAAGATTCATCATAACTCGAACCTTGTCCATAGCAACATTCCAAGTAGGTGTTAGCGAATTCGCGAAAAAACGCAGCTCCTGCAATATGCCGAGAGAACATTTGAATAAATCGAATCACAAAACACTTTATTGAAATTGGCTTCACTTCCGACGTTTGCGAGGCTGTTGATCAAAAGGAAAATGTCGCGATTGCAGGGAGTTGCAGCTGAAATCACCTCAAATAGGTTTCGACGAATTTGAACTCACTATTCACAGACGAATATTGCAACGAGAATCCCGATTTTTGGATTGTCGGATTCGAAATGAAAGTGATGACGGCAAATCGTGTGGAAGAATGATATACGCTAGCAGGTGTTGTCACATTTGCTCCAGGACCTCCGATTCTGAAAAGGGAGTCTTTGGTGATGAAAAACCAAAAAATCATACTGAACCAAAACTGGACTTGAAGTGGTTGGTCCATCGTAAATAGTGACGTAATCACAACATGATTCAAGGTCCCAATGATTGAATTTGAATCTCAACATTTATCGGCTCCTATTATTAATTGATCTGTTTTTTCTTACTCTAGAACTTTTCCAGGTTCGGCGTGCACAAAATAGAAGCATTTATCATTGGGCGGATAGTTTTTCGGATAAAACGGCGAATTGATTTGGCCCGAATAATAGAAATCGTTATTTTCGGGACATCCGATATAATCATCCTTATTGATTATTATTTTCGTTTTTTCATTTTGCTAAAATGCTTGCTTGACAATTAAAAAAAACGTTCCGCAAATTCTAACATAATAATAATTCAAACAAAAAACCAACGAATACACTTACACGTGCCAATGTTTTCGGCTGTTGGGCTTTTGCTGTAATTATAGCAAAAGTAAGAATAGAAACGGGTTTGATGAATATCATAATTCGGTCTCAACTCATTAATTCCCTTATCATCCATTTTTATACAAACGTGGTGATAAGAGTCTAATCAATTGAACGATGATTTCATTATCCCCAAAAACGAAAAGTCTGAATTCAAAATCGACTTCAATTCCGCGAGTGTTCGTTTCAACAAACACAAAACAGCAAAAAAAAGAACTCCACCGTTTCTCACGAACGGATTTCCGCGTTGTTGTTAAAATATTTCGAATTTCAAATTGCCTTATTTTTGTTCTTCGCTTTTTCTTTAAATATTTTGGAATGGTATAAAATGTGGAGTCAAACGAAACCATCAAACATTTAAATTGAAATTGATGTTGTTTTCTTTGAATGAGAAATAATTAGAATACATATAATAAAAACTTCATAAATTCTCAAAGAAGCCGTTAAAATGTTATTTTTTTTTCAGAAGAATCGCCATCAAGTTGTTCTAGATGTTTTTGGCATTAATCTGTTCGGAGGCAAAAAAATTATAGCCCAGGAAGATGCTGGAAAACGTTTATACATATATTCCCTTGAGTATTCATTTCTTAATTGGCATTCGAAAATCGAAAATGCCGAAATTAATTTCAATAAATTTTAATTTTTTTTAAATTTCAAAATGATGAAAATGCTAATCTGGGGGGATTTGAGAGAAACAGAAACTCTCAAAAAAATTTTTAATTGTGGACTCTGACAATCCAAAAGGACATCTCTTCGTCTTTGTTTTTTCTGAAAATTCTTTGGTGCCACAATCTCGCATTTCGTCCAATCTTCCAGAAACCCTTTTCCACCCACAATTTTTGTTCCTTTCGCGTCGAGCAATTTCGCCGACTCATAAAATATATTTCGACGCACTCTAGCTAATTTGTCTAACCATATAAATATCTACATATAGTGTGAGCAGGTATAAATCCAAGATTCTTTTTTGCAACACCAATCAATTCGAATTTTCGAAGGCTGAAAAGAATTCTCGTTTTTCGCGATTCGGATGGCCAACTAATCAAATTTTGCCCTGATTCTTCCTCTTCCGATTTTCTTCCGTTTTTTCTTCTGTCTTCACACTAAATAAATTATAATTCCTATTAGCACAGACTGTGGCACGAGTTCAAACGTTTTCCTTCATGCAAGCTTAATCAGGTGTGAGAAACGAGTTCGACTTATTTTAACAAGCAAAATATTAAAGATCAAATTATTTTCAACGTCACCCGATTCAAATTGATTCGAAACATTACCTCACTTATTTTCTTCGCTATGCGGCAGAAAACACTGTTTTTCCCAATAAAACTAATAAAATTTCTCTGTTCCCAAAATATCCCATATTTCTTTTTTTTTTGCGAAGCTCATATATATGAACCGGAAAGCAATCGAAAGAGGTCAGAATATGAATTTTTGAAAAGTGTTTTGACAGAATTTCGCAAATTTTATAATCAGATAGCTATTTTTTTTCTCAAAATTGATGCACAAATACCTCATGTAACCAGAAAATTATGAGTAAGAACTATATTTTTTATTACTTAATCAAAAAGACATTAAAATAGCAGCAAGACCTAATTAAGACATTTAAAACAAAAAATTCTCAACCGATTATTTTTGTGCGCACAACTATGTATTTCTCATTCTTCGTTTTTTGATTGAAGTTCCATTTTCAGCTGTAAATCAAACATCATCTATTTCGAACTAAAATCGGACGAATCGTGATATTTTCGAATTGTTTCATCAAAATCCAGTGTACGGAAAATTCCAAGAATTTGAAGCAACATTCTGTGAGAAGCGACTAATCAAATATCGTAGTCAGAATACGAATGTAGTCATCCATCTATTTATCATTCGACCGTTAATCATTTTCGCTCCTTTTTATGCTCATTCCGCGAGCTCTTCGTCGCCGTCCATTTGCGACCCATCAATAAATAAAAATCGACGAGCCGAATGTGACACTCCATTATTTTTTTTCAAGCCACACATACACTTTGTGCTTCTTGAAAGCGTAAATCTTCGTTCCACTTCTTGCTCACTTTATTATTTTTTCTTCGAGCAAAAAAAACTAAATAAGCTGTAAAAAAATTGGTGGTCAATTTTTTATTTGTTCATATTCCGAACACCCAAGGGTGCAAATCACTGCTGTGCAGCAATAGAATTACCGATTGCCGAATTGCCGAAATTTTTAATTTCAAACAAAAATCAATGTCCATTGAATAATTTGGGATACCATGAAAATTCGGTATTTATATTTCGAATTATCGTTGAAAAAATTTAATAACCCAAATTTTTATTTTCGGCAGCTTGCCGAATTGCCGAAATTTCCGATTGCCCTGGTGCAAATCAGTTGCCATCATTACATATTTTGCGAAAGGTTTATCCAAGTGTGAGCTATTTTCCATTCTCTGATGATGATTTTATGAAATGACCAGTTTAAAAACTATTATTAATTTGGGTCACAAAATAAAATTCAAACATTATTTGAATACAAGTCATGTACTTTATACGATAAAATGAAAAAAAAAAACTTTTAAAATACGTTTTTTTTTCCTATTTTTGCATTCGTCCTTACAAAAAAGCATGCACATTTTTGAAATGCACTCTATTAAAGATGCGTATCTTCCAATCAATGCAAATCTTAATTGTTACTCATTAATTTTACGAAACGTAAAGAAAAAAAAGATGATATTTTAAACGAATGCTTTGAGTTTTTCCGCCTTCCAATTCATCGAGGGACTAGTAGTGCTCATAAAGACATTGAACAAAAAAACCAAACAAAGTGAGCAAGTGTTCTTTACACTCTGCAGATGAGCCACACAGATACTATTAATTTTGGTCTAGATTGATACACTTTATTTTTGCAGGTGCATTATTTTTTTTTCGTAAAAGCAACAGTTGCCCAGATTTGCAACATTGTTCGATTTTGCCTTTCCAAGCTGATTTGTATATATCAGATTATTCTTTTGTGTTTTTTTTTCTCTAAAAGTGTCTGGCGTATAATTCGGAACACTACATAATTTGTCTAACAAAGATTCAATGCTGTTAAGTAGAAGAGATCTTCCTTATAGGACCCTTTGAATTGTCTTGCACACTGTTTAAAAAATGATTCAATATGTGATGGACTGCTACAGTATCCATCGGATGAAGGAATGCCACAGTCCTGAATGCAATTACTCATTGAATGTCCGCTGTTGTTGAGACATTCATTGAAATTTCAGAGCAACTTTATGCTTTTCCACAAAAAAATATTTCAAATTGTTGACGAAAAACTCGGTACCTTCCATTTATAAATGCTGCGAATGAAAAATTGGCGGAAAAAAAAACACCAACACGCAGTGCTCTAACAAACCAGAAAACCTAAAACACGACGAGTTAAATATTAAGAGAATGTCATAGAAGTGAACTAATCCTCCCCTCAATTTTTCATGCGCGCCACGAGAATGTGTTTCGTGTCGGGCGCCGGAAAATCAGAAACCAGCGAGTCGGCCCGAAAACGACACTCAAACAACTCGGCCGGCCTTTATCTGCTTGTCCGAGTCGTCATCCAACATTCATTTTATTTCTTATTTTTTTGATTATACGAAAAAATGAGTGTCCGTCATCATTGAATGTTTAAACCAAAAAAAAGAAGACAGTGCGGCTTTTATCTCGACTCTCAAGTAGGGCGCCTCCCTCACCCGAAATAGGCTCCGCCCATTTTGCCATTTCTTTGCTTTTCAAGGATTATTGCCTTTGCTCCGCTTTTTTTTCTTCGCTTTTCTTTTTGTTCCAATTGTTGTTTTGCTTTTTTTTGTTTTGGTTTTCTTTTCTAATGATTCAACCATCTATCATTTCCACATTCAATTCCAGCTGGATTTATCCAGATTCTAATTTTGGTTTTGTCAAAAATTGAATTTTGCCAGGTGTTTTCAATCCAATTATTCTATCGAATACGCTCGTGAGATTCGATTCTTCGACAAATTGAGTTCATTTTTAGGTGAAATGGACGAGCCTGTTAAATGTCTCGCAACACCTGAACAGCGGCTGATCGAAGAAAGGTATCTCGAAGCATTTCTCTTCGAATCTACCTTAAAATTACAGGTTTTTCCTTCTTGGAGTCATTGGAACAATTATCGCCATTTTTGGAGTTATTGCTAACGGATTTCTCGCTGCATTGTTCTTAACAAGAAAAATATTCAGGTAAACATTATGAATGAACGGCAAGAAAAGTTCTTTTGAATCCACAACAATTCTCCTTGATTTATTACAGCTATACACTTTTCATAGTGGTTTTAAGGCGAATCGTGCTGCTTTTTGATAGATTGCAATTTTCACAGCTATCATTTCAATTATGGTTATCTCTTTAGATATTAAAGTTGGGTGGAACTTTATTTAATAAGTTCAAAATCACGATAAAAGAATTTCTAAAGAAAAAGCTAAATGATTATTTGGTATCAAATAACCTATCAAATAATCCAATATGTATTTTTGATCGAATATATTTGTTTGTTTGTCGTTTTTGTGGAAAACGCTTAACTGTATGGACCTTCATATTGAAAACGCGAGTTCGGACCCTCTTGTGAATTCCAATTTTCTTTCGTTTGTCAAAACAAGTTCCCGATTTTTTTTGCGCACGCACACGAGAGCACAACTCGAACATTTCTTATGAAACTTGTCGATGGAATTCGAGGGTTTTTTTTTCTTGAAATGCCTTTTTTGGAAATTGTTTTCACGCGTAGTTAATAGTCGTGTTATTATTATTATTATTATTTCCATATATGAGCACATTTTAGTTTTATTCTGCCAATCGCTTCATTCCTTTGGACGCTATTTTTCTTTTTATGCCAGATTTGTTTGAATTGCTTCATTTAATGGGCAACAATTGAGCAAACAAGAAGATCTTAATCGCCATCACATAAAAAAAGATCTGAATAACATTTTTTAATCTGAAATTCTCAAAAAGTTCAAAGAATTTTGATCATAAAAACCACAATAGTAAATAAGTTTAAATTATCTCAATTTTGAACCGAATTTGAACCTCGGCGTTTTTTTGTTTTATCATTTGAAACTGAGAAACCGGTGAAATAAAACTGAACCTGCAAAGCAAGCTGATATTGTCTTCTTTCAGAAATTCGCCATTCTTCTTCCTTGGATTCGTCGCCTTCTTCGACACTCTCGTAGACGCAACATTTCTTGTTCTCGCGGTAAGATTGGAATTCCGGATATCGGAAACAATTGAAACTCTTTTCCCACATTTTTTTTTATTTCTTCAACCAATTGTTGAGGGTGGTATTAATACTAATGCAGTGGGTTCTCGATTTGCAACGAAATGCATAAAATAAACATGAAAACTAGTCGATTTTCAGCCGATGGAAGTGAGCTCAGTCTATTACAACGAAGGTGTCGTTTATGAGATTTGGTTGTCGTTTTTTCGACATGTCTATCTGTTCGCTCAAATTGTCAAAATCGCTTCCGTGTTTTCGCTAATAATGGCCAGTATCGAAAGGTTTCCGTTTGCACTTTTATTCCGAAAAAAAATGCCCAAAACTATAGACTATGGGTCACAAATTGGGCCGTAGGGGAAAACGATAATTGGAACGAAAATGAAATACGTTTATAAATGACTTCGTCATAATATTCTCGTTTAGAAAAAAAAATAACAAATATACAGTGTGAAATGTTGAAAATTGCAGATATTTCATGACAAAACACTGGACATTTGTTGGATTTGAGACGAGAACTCGCTGGTTTGTGCTTCTTTGCTTGATTTGTTTCTCAGTTTTCATCAAATCCATGTCCGAAGTAAGCAGTATTAAGTGGTTACCCGACGAAAACTTGACTTCAGGAAGCCATGGTGATACTTCGCGAAGATTGTTTCGGACACATGCGACATGCAATCCGAATTCAACGCGGCGAGCTCGGCCACATGGGGCTACTGCACTGTCTTGCCATTTTTCTTCCATTTTTCACATTAATATTCTTAAACGGTGGAATCGTAATAATGCTATGGAAACGAAATGTGCAGGTATATATGAATATTGTACGGACCGATGAATTTTAAATTTTTGAATCGTCTTTTAAAAAGACTCGTAAAACCAATAAGGTTGTATCAAATTAATTATGAAAATTACGATATTGTCATTTCGAAATCGCCTTAAATATTTATCATACAAGGCAGCAATTCAAATGTTGAAACTCGTCGATATGCTAGATGCTAAAAAATTAATTTTCAGCAATTACGAAGTTTAATTGCTGAGCTAACATTAGGGCACGATTTGTCGAAAATTCGAAGGAAGAATTTGCGATGTGCAACACGAACGCTTATTGTTATAATTTCTGCATATTTGATATCGAATTTATTAAATCTCGTTCTTATAATTACGGAATATGTCGATCCAGGTGAGAAAATCATCTACAAAATGTTTATATTCATAATGTAAATCTAGATTTTTTGCAAATTCATCATCCTGACTTCAATAGATTGGCAACTGATTCAGCCGCTCTTCTAACTGTCGTTGGAAACGCAATCCGATGTCCTGCTCATATGTTTTCAAATTCGGAAATTCGTACTCAATTTCGAATAATGTTATGCGGAGAGGAAGATAAAAAGGTATCATTTTGTATTTCGTTGATTAGCCGATTTCGATGTCGTTTTCTCAGGAAGTGAAACATCTCGAGCGTCGCGCAACCCAAGAAAAACTCGACAATCCATGGATGACTCTTATGTGGGTGTCGGCCAACAATCCGAATCCGTCAGACGACGAAAGAGCAGCATTTATGGCAAAAGCTTATATGAAATGGCACTCGGCCATCGCGATTGTTTGATTATTCTTTAAAGGGTTTAAAAACAGTATTATATTCACACAAAAAAACGAGCGCCCTGTGCCGATTTACGGTGTGGTTAGCTTCGCAGTTTATCCGTAGCACGGTACCCAAATTCCAAAAGTTTAAATTCGAAATTGAATTACCTCTTCGAAAAAGGTGGGAGGGTCCACAATTATTCAAGGTGCTCGTTTTTTGCAATGATAATGTGTACATATTTGTATTCAAATTTCAAATTACTGGTATAAATGTTTATTTTTCAAATTGATTTCAACAGTAACAAAACGTGTTAATGGACATATTAATGGAAAAAATAATAAAAATTAAAATTAAAAAATTGAATTCCCTATACACGCACGTCGAAAATTACCAAAAACGAAATTGACACGAATCGTAGTTCTCCGTAACTTTACTGTTAATTATCCACTTGTCTTATAAACGGCCCAACTTTATAACCGAGGATTTCGATTTTCGAAATTTGGTCCGGCCATCCGATAACCCAACATTTTTCAGACCCGATTTATGATTTTAAAACCCAATTCAAATTTGAAGTTGTTGATTTTCCGACGAATTCTCATCCTATGGTTTAGTATTTTGTGATTGTAAATCTTCTATTCAAATCAACTCATCATTACCAATTCTCAACTTCGATCATCTCGCTTTTCTATGCCAGCTAACTACCCCTGAATACAGCAAATACGTCCTTGAAATCCATCCTATGTCCCGACGAAATTTTCAAAATACCAACTTCACTCGAATCAATCAAATCCTCGATCTTGTGTTCTAAATGTGTTCTAAATCCAAAATCTAAGAGGTCCTAAATCCAAATCCAAATCCAAAAATCCAAAATCTAAGAGGTGTAGATTTCTCAAAGTGACACATTCTTTACAATCTCTTTCTCCTGATAATGATGCGAAGGTTTTCATTTGAGCACTGAGACCTCCAAGAATATTGTTAGAGGCGGCCGAATTTGGGGATTTTAAATGTAGCTTTTTAAAGTCTAATCAATGCTCTCCTACCTCGCCATTTGGAACTTTTTTTGGCACATTGCCATCAACCCCCAAATTTCAACCCCTACCCCTGATTTTCCACCCCCAAAATTTAACCCCCATTTTTATTTTTCAACCACCCCCTAATTTCCACCACCAGATTTTAGCCCCCATTTTTATTTTTTTATTACCGGTCAATGTTAATTGACTCAAATTTTTGACTTGAGTACTTAATTATGTTCTTTTGGCCAATACCGTAAATTTTCCTAGAAATTGTCAGTGTTATATGGGGGAGGGGATCTTAAGGGGTCCGAATTCGAAAGTTTTTAAAATTCCAGAAAATGATCCTAAGTGCCCATTGTTTCAGAAAATGATGCTAAAACGTAAATCTTTTTCATCAAATTTTCTGCTCGAAGGTCAAAATTTACAGTTTCTAACAGTAATTGGCTAACTTTGATTTTTTTGAAACTATGTAGACTATCCTTATGAAAGAAAATTTTTACAAGTAATTAACTATTCACGGAAGAGCAGGTTCAGATAGACTTCATGTTCAGATTCGGGGTTCAGATAGACTTCGTAAGCGTGAATCTATTCCCACAATTTCCAATATTTCAAGTATCCAATTGTGCAATTCTGTATCAAGCTTCTTTGCAAGCCTTGCGCAAATCAAATACCTAAAAAAACAATAGTGGCAGCCAAATAGGCTTAAATTTTTTGTACATCTTAACACATTTTTATAAATTTATTTTAGGAAAACACAATTAAATTAGAATGGAAAGGGAACAAAAAAATGGGAAAAATTTAGCAAACATTACAAAAAAAAACCAGCGAATCGAAGAACGGATATCGATGGCGCGGGATTAGCGTCAGACGAAGCCTCAAAGACACATAAATCATGGAGTAATGTTGAATATACGAAAAATAAAATAATCCTAAAAATTGGGAAAAGGCATTTATAAAAATTGGGATAGGCATTTATTAATTTCAGTCCTTAATAATCACTAGTTTACAAATACAGTGCGCGTCATAATGATAGGCCACCTCCCCAAATTTTGCAGTTTTGAGAAAACCATATAAATTGGTGACAAGACAATTTCATTTTCGAATTCAGGGCCATTGAAAACCTATATGTGCGTATTTTCATGAGGGTCCGTTGGTCCATATCCGCACAGCCCGAAAAAGTTGGATTTTCAAGCGCGTCATAATGATACGCCACCCCCTATTTTTTGTCTTTTCTTTCGGCATTTTTGCATGTTTCTTGCTTACTTTTCTGTATTTTGTACAATTTTTCAACATTATTGTCTTTATATCCATCGAGCGATCGTCCGTTTTAGTTTTGGCTTGAAATCGGGCCGAATTCGGTCCTTTGAACGATTTTTTTAATTTAAGGACTAAAACGCAAGAAAAAAGTCTAAATATCCAAAGTAAAGCAAGTTTGAATGCAAGAACACGACAAATTCAATGATTAGTAGTCCCTCCATAGTTTTGGATCACTTCACATATTCGGTTTTTATTCTGTCGGTGAGTTTCTTGAGGTATGCAGCAGACCGACTGTTCCATTCCCGTCTACTTGCGGCCTTCAGCTCATAAAAGGTTGGCAAGCTACTGCTTGCATTCTGTGTGCGGACAGCCTGACCGATAATTTTTCACTTATTCTTCTCATAACCATCGGCCGCGGAAAATCTCTCACATTAGCTCACAGGAGAAAGCTCAAATTGGCATTATGGTAACGGCGATGATTTTTTCGTATTTGAATTATTGAATTTTATTTCATAAAATTGCGAAAACACTCATTTAATTGAATCATCCCATAAAATTGAATATACAGGGTGTCATTTAAGTTCCCGCACAAAAGTTTGACGTCATGAAGAGCTTGGCTGTCGCACTTTTCGTGAAACAATACAATTTATTTTTGTTAAATAAGGTATATTTTACTTATTTTCCAAGTTTCACTTCATTCGGATGTGTTTCCGAGAAATGGCGAAGGCTAACATCCATCGCGCTTCCATTATCGAACTTCATAAGCAAAATGTGAGCCCGAGAGCCATCATTCAACGCCTCGGTTTGCCTCGTAGAACGCTTTACGACACCTTCAAACGTTTCAAGGAGCTAAATACGACCAGTGACCGTCTCAGACAAGGAAGACCCGTCTCGGTAACCACTCCTCAGAAGATCAACGCCGTCAAATCGAGGATCAGGCGAAACCCCTACAGGAGCATGAGAAAGATGGCGTCAGACGTGGGAATGAGCATCTTCGCTTTGGAACAAATCGTCAAAACGAAGCTTGTACTGACCCCATATCGTGTCCAAAAAGCGGCAATTCTATCGGCCGTCAGCAAGCAGAGACGCTTCGAAAAAGCAAAACGACTTCTTGCGCGCACGCGGTCTGGAGAACACCTCGTCACTGTCTTCTCCGACGAGAAGCTATTCACTATGGAGACGGCATTCTACTCACAAAACCATTGAGTACTTGCCCAGACATCCCAGCAAGCTTCTGAGAAAGGAAGAACAATTAATCGAGCCTCACATCCTGCCAGTGTGATGGTTTTCGGTGCCATCTGCTCAACCGGGAGGTGCCCCCTGGATTTCGTGGATCAGGGGGTGAAAATGAACAAAGAAGTCTACGTTTGGGACATTTTAAAGAAGCATGTGATGCCCTGGACTCAAACGCATTTTGGTGGGCAGAAATGGGTCATTCAACAGGACAGAGCACCCGCCCACAATGCCAAAACTACTCAGGAGTGGTGCCAGACCCATTTTCCCGACTTTATCAAGTCATCCGAATGGACTGATTGCTCCCCAGACCTGAATCAGCTTGACTTTTCCGTGATGGGGTCTTGCAGGAGAAGGTCAACGCAAAACCCCACTAAAGTGTAGAGGCTCTGAAGAAGACATTACTGGCGGCATGGCACAATCTTTCCATCGAATACCTGCGTACCACAGTCGCATCCTACCCGAAGCGTCTCTGTGAAGTCATAGCTCCGAAAGAAGGCCGAATCGAAAAGAGTTAATATAAAATTATTTGTTATACTATAGATAAAAAATATTTCAAGTCTCGTTTGATTTGAACTTTTAGTCTCAGAAATATACGTCTTCAAAGTTGTGCGGGAACTTAAATGACACCCTGTAAATGGGCGATGGTTGTATTTCGCAAGTATCTGATCTCCATCTGGTCGTTATACCTCATTGTTCATGTTAGAGACGTAGCGCATTGCTCATCTTAGAGATGTCAGATTGTATATAAGCGAAACAAATAACTGCGGTCGTTACAACTCTGCCGAAATTCTCCTTTTCAGTTTTCAGCCAAGCCTGATTCCCGTCAGAACTCGCTACAGCGAAATTCAAAAATTGCTGCACGATCTCAATTTAGACGCTGGCGGAGCTAATAATAAATATTTGAAAATGTAACCAACTATAAAATTGCGATGCTTGAACTATTGAGAGGGTTGCAGGTTCGGTGTCACTATTTCGGCAAATCCCAAAACAGTGACGGCCATCCAACGAGAAGCTCCCCGCATTCGTCAAAATGGATCAAAGCTTGTTCGCGGAGCATCTTGTTCCACTATAGTTGTGTCTCATGATAATAAAAAAAAAGCGTTGCCAAGTGAGTGAAGTTCACAAGAATATTCTTCCCATTTGTTGTGAGCCCACTCACGTAAACTATTGTAATCTCGTAGGTTATGGAATATTCTAGAACCCAGTTCCTCACGTAAACATCCCCACACGCGCATTGTAGAACATTCTAGAAGCACATCCCCACTAGTATAAATACCCGGCCATCATACATTGTAGTGTTCCATCTAAGGATATAATAAAGCTATCCAACTCTACATCACTGTTCACTTCGATCCCCATGCTTCGGCACCATACACGCGGAACTCAAGGACACAACACCATTATATCATTTTTTAGCAACTGCCTGAAATTGTTCAGCGATGGCTGCAAACTGTCGGGCATTTCCGTTGGCAAATGGATCATCGAGGATATAAGTGCTTACAAGTTGGGCGTCGATTA